GCAGCGTGATTAACTCTCTAGGTTTCTTTTGAAAACACCTAGAGGGAGACTAGGACCAGATGATATCAGACATCACCACTACAGCTGATTATGTAAACAGAAAATAAGGTACAAAGCCCATAGGGCTATCTCAACGCTGGGGAAAAAAAAATAGTTTCTGGGCAGACAATCATCTGTTAGGCTTATTGGTCAGCCTTCCCATAGTAGATAGTATGGCTTAAAAGGAAAACAAAAAGCTTCTTGTGTTGGCACAGTAAAAATAGACCAGACAAATATTTTGGACTTCTTGTCTGTACATTCGGACTTTCGGTTGGCCTGTCTTGTCCTTTACCGCTCAGTCACATGGTTATCAGAAAAAATCATAAACATAATTCCGCAGTTCTGGCAATGTTCTTTTTTGTCCTCATGGGCTATGGTTTACAGAGGGAATTCATTATTCCAGAGCAAGTAATTGGATTCTTCAAATAGAAGTTCAAGCATATCATCTAACATGTCTGTTAGTCCACCCATTGTACAGCGCTACGGAATCTGATGGCGCTATTTAAATAATAAAATAATCCTCTCGCACTCTTCACTCAAACTGATGAATTGGCCACTACAAAAGCTCTGTGTCAGGGATCCGCGGGCAGCTAGGAGGGGAGGCTGCATGCCACTTGCAGCACTCACCCTCAGTCCATCGCCGCCCGCGGTCTCCCCTCCTCTTACCTGTCGGCGAGCGGCGTCTCCTCTCTGCTGCTCGCCGCTTGCGTCCTCCACGTCCCCCCAGCGGCAGCATGTATAACGCTGCATGCTGGGAGGTCACTGAATTATGCAAACGCCGGGGTCACGTGAGTGACCCGGCGTTAAACAAACAGTACCACAATCACAGTGGGAGGTATAGATATCCCCCACGTGTGATTGTTAATTCTGATTTTAAGTTATCCAATCAGAATTAAACCAAGGGTATTTATACTTACCTTTCCTGTCCCTCAGTGCCCTGTTGTGGTCTTGTGATACCTGTAGTGCTGTTCTCTCGTGTTGCTCTCTGGTTTCCGATTATTTGGCTCGTTATTCCGATTATCCTGTATTCTCCACTCCTTTGACCTCGGCTTGTTTCTCCCGTTTTCTGGCACCCTTTACTTGGCTTGTCTCCTGACCATTCTTAATGTGCTTAGCCCGGCCACTCTAAGGACCGGTATAGCACCCTTCCTCTCTGTGACGTGTTAGGTTCCGGAATCGTGACACTCTGGGTGCTGAAGTCATAGATATGGTCCTGAAAGATAGATTTTCCTCCTTGGGATCTGAACATCTTCATTACCAAAAGCTGTGCAGATCTATTAAAATGATTTCATAGAGGAAAAATTTAAAAAAAAATGTTTTTCTCTTTATTATTCTTTCTGCCAAAACATTACATGATGGAGAAATGTAACCTCTCTATTGATATATGATCAAGCCAAAATTCCATTTATAAATACTTTTATATACCAAGGATGGGGGGATTAGTATTTGGATATATATTGATATCCTATTAAGAGCTTCTGGAGTGAATAATTTAACATATCAATTTGTTTAAAACAAAGTTAAAAGGGACACTACAATAGTAAATTAGCAACCTTTGTTCTGTGCATTTAAATGCTATATGGCATGCAGTTCAGTCATTAAGTATAGCAATCAAGCACTTTCTTTAAAGGATCACTATAGTGTTAGGAAAACAAAGCAGTTTTCCTGACACTTTAGTAACCTGAGGGTGCCCCCACCCTCAGGGTTCCCCTCCCATGGCGCTGAAGGGGTTAAAACCCCTTTAGCAGCTTACCGTAATCCAGCGCTGTGCTCCTTAAGCGCTGGTGTCCTCTCCTCCCCGTCTGACGTCACTGGAGCCGCATGCGCATGCACGGCAAGTGCCGCGCGCATTCAAAGTTTCCATAGGAAAGTATTGCTCAATGCTTTTTCTATGAACGCTCTGCGCGATGGAGGCGAAGTTCGCCTCCAGCGTCGCAGATGCGGCTCTAGTGGCTGTCCAGAAGACAGCCACTAGAGGCTGGATTAACCCCAAATGTAAACATAGCAGTTTCTCTGAAACTGTTATGTTTACATGTGATGGGTTAAAACCTGAGGGACCTGGCACCCAGACCACTTCATTGAGCTGAAGTGGTCTGGGTGACTATAGTGTCCCTTTAAGTGAATCCTGTTTTCATGCAGGGTTATTTACCAAAGTGAGAATTCAATGCAGATTTAAAATTCTCTAACTAAGCTACTTTGGCCTTAAATTTGAAATTGCCCTAATGATGTTCTGTCATTTTAGAGAAGTGGTTTTAAACTAGTGTACTTTAGAATATTGGACTAAACCAAGCCACCTCGGAGTTTGCAATAAATGCATTATGGGATATTTATCATGGTGTTTTGAAAAGTGATGGTTTAATTCTATTATCATTTTGATCATATTTATCAAAGTCATCTAAAAAGTGGAGGTTTTATTTATATACAGACTCTGGGAGGGAGCTAGGAATATAGTTGTTATGGTGCTTGATGTTTTACTGTTAACTAACCGATGACATGGTTTGCTATCTTCACACGCTTTCCTGAAAGATCATGCGTCTCCTTAATTTTCATTAGGAACTCTATTAGTGAGTGGGGCATTCCATTTTGGAATAAAAATAATGGAATAGAATGCAGAATCTTAATATAACTTAGCCCAAGGAATTTATCTGAAAAAGGGACTCATTAACAACCATTAAAATCCAGAACATAAACTATACCATTACAGAAAATATTATTAGTAGATTTTATTGAAAATTATTTTTATCTATGTGCATTTCCAGCGATACTGAATATGAGCAATACATTGTAATTAAGTTATAGGTATGTATGTAAGCTTAAAGGGCACTATAATTGCTTTTTCTCATAGAAGTTCTTATATTGTACTGGCACTGTCCTTACATGCAGCCTTAATGCTAAACGAGAGTCCCTGGTAGCCCATGTCCTCTATGCTGCTTGGACTAATGAGGAAGCATTAGCCTGAGCAGGAATGGACAGCTCTGATTGGCTGAGTGTCAGCTGACCTCTTTCAGTCTATCACATCACCCACTGCTGGTGTGAACTGGTATGGCTTTAAATGGACGTTATAGGCGTCCAGTTCACTTCAGCACATTGAAGTGGTCTTGGTGTAGTGTCTCTGTATCCCTTATTCCTGAAATGTAAAACATTGCAGTTTTTGAGAAACTGAAATGTTTACAGTGCAGAAATAAGACAGCCTCTAGTAGTAGTCTACCAGACAGCCACAAGAGACCCTTCCGGGAGTTCACCACAGCCTAAATCCCTTAAACGACGCTGGACATCCTCAACTCTCTGCATGAGGACATCCAGAGTCAGTGAAGTCCCCATAGGAAAGCATTGATTTAATGCTTTTGAATGGAGAAGGCCTAATGCGTTAGTCAGGAGGCGGAGCACCGACCCAGCACCGAGGGACAGCGGTGCTGGAATTGTATGAGTAAATAAAGGGTTTTTAACCCTTTATGTGCTATGAGAGATGGAGGACCAGAGGGCACTATAGTGTTAGAAATACATCTTTGCAAACCTAACACTATAGATTACCCTTAAGAGGTGTGTAATCTCTGCCTTAGCCATACCTCCAATGGGGGGGTGGCCGGGCTGTGTGTGGCCAATGACCCTCATTTAGTGTTAAACTGCTCAAAATGGTTTAACACTAAATTGAGTGACAGCACTTGGGAACTCAAGACACTATAACTAATTCAATTAGATGAAAACTTTATAGTCCTAACGCATCCTTTTACTATATGATAAGAACACTTGTACATTGTTTTTGTACATCCAAACATTTTTCCAAAAAGTCAAGCAGCTAGTATTTTATGGTTCCTTTTTGCTAGCCAGTCAAGTGATTTTGTCTGCTTCATCTCTGCTAAGAATATATTTAAATATTGAGTTGCATGTATTATATATTTCTTGAGTTCTTTTAGATGTACATATTGTATTTAGCAGAGACTGCAATGTTTTGCAGACTCAAATGCTTTCACTTAAAGTGTTTACTTATAGCTGCCAGACTCCTCCCTGAAGCAGAGGACCTTTCACAATTCCAGCTATTCAGTGTATTGTATTCCTTCTAAAAATGTGATTTCACATTCATTTTTTTCTAACCCACTGACTGCAATTTTGTACATTGTAGTTGGTAGATCTCCATGTTTATAAACCGGTGTTTCATTTGTGATATGTGGGAACTACAGAATAAATCATTTTTTTTGTCTGCAGTTGCCTTTGTATAGATATATTGATGCTTAACCCCTTAAAAACCCTTGACGGTCTATAAAGTCATCACGATTCCAATCCTAAATGCAATGACCCATTTAACAGCTGCAGGGTTAGCTTCAGGAAGATACATACCATGCGTTACATCGGACATCTATTTTTAACAGAAACCTATTTTAAGTGAAAGAAGATAAAAATAAATGTATAAAAACACAGATGTATAGAGCTTCTTTCTATATAATATTACTGGCTTGCGGTGATGACTGAACAGAACAATAGGGTTTACTCACTAAAGTGCAAATGTTAGACCAAAGCAGCAAAGTTGGCAAAAGTCTCAAATTCAGCAATATTCAGCAATTTTTCAAGTTTGGCTAATCTGGCCTAACATTAAAATTTGCTTGCCAATTCTACAAAATGCCACCTTCGATAATTAAACATGTAACTATAGTATCCCTTTAAGGGTTCTGTTTGAATAAGTCCATCACTGATCACCGTCGTGTACTGCAAAGGAATCGATTTACTCGGTCTCTGTAATGGATTTTGATAGTGGATATGCCTTTTTTTTTTTTTTTATAAATAAGCACACACTCTCCATTTGTAAAACTTTACACCAAAAAAATAGTTATTTTTATACAAATGTCTTAAATAACAATACATTTTTTAAATGAATGTGTAATTAGTAAAAAAAAATAAAAACCCTGCAGTTAGATCATAGAATTTACAGCATGAGTTTAGTGAAAAAAAGGCACAAGGCTGCATCCTTAAAAATTAGAGTCTTTTTTCCTGGGAGGTCGTGATGGAGACACAATTATTATGTCATCAGAATCATCTGAATGTATTTCCTCAATAGGTTGCTGGATCTTCGATGAAACTATGGACATGAAAAACAAAATCAGCTTTTAAAAAAAAATGATTTGGCTACAAATAATTTGTTAGACAATTATTAAGGTCAGGCGTGGCCAAAAAGCAGATCCCCAACTGTTGTAGACCCATCTACAAATCTGATTGATGCTTTGCCAGTCTCAATGTAGCAATCTAGGCACCGTAACCTACACGTGCCAACGGATTCTAGGTCGAACTGCTTTCAATTGGTTTAACCAAAACTAGGAGTCCTCGAAGCACCACTTGTCCGGCTCTCTGCTTATCTATTGCGAATATGGAAGGTCCATGCATCAACTGACCAGCTCACTCATGAATGGCTTTAAAATATGGATGTATCTGATGTTGCCAAAACAGAAGGTGTCTTACGTGTTAGCAAAAGATGAGCAGAGGACCAGACACTTGGGTTTTGGTCAAACTACTCAAACACTGCATTGTAATGGTTAGAGTGCCTAGGCTGGTTCTTTAAGGCTGTGGATATACATTTGGTCATCTTAGTTCTAGACTACCTGAAGGTGGTCGCCGGGGTGAATATTTGATGGACTCCCTCTTTTGCGCTGCTTCTTCCTTCTCTTCTTCTGATGATAGCTCCTCAATATAATCCTCCCTGAGATCTCCAATGCTTCCACTGGGTGTATTGGTTTCTGCAGAACAAATACTATGTCAAATAACTAGTTTGTATTCGATAACAGGGCAAAAGTCATAGATACAAGGGAGCTGTTCTCAACTTGAGTAAACCCTCTAGCAAAAATATTACATTAGATAACTAGATTTGTCAACACTTAATTAATGACCACAAACTACAATTAAATTAGTCTGCAAATTCTCACTGGAAGGTAGGTATCTTCATCTCCCAAGAGCCATATCAGTGCTATACTTTTGCGCCTGTGTGAGAGTAGAATACTGAGGTCTATGGAGGATCATGTAAGACTGGGGGGAAACTCCATAGATCAAGTCTGGCACTTGCAAGGCTGATGGGAATTGGCAAAAGTTGACTGCAAAGCTCCACCATTTGTCACCCACGGGCTTGCCCATAAGACTAAGTACATTTATTTTGTCTTTGGGTATCTTTGGACTGCAATGGAATTTCAAAGAAATGTAAACAAAGTCACTGTGAGGAATTCATAAAGATTATATATTTTATGAAATATTCAGAAATGACTGAGCTACTTTAATGGCGGATATCGACTGGATATTCAAGCTTGATGAAGTGCATTATGTGCCTGGAGACTTTTTTTCAACAGTTTATAAAAGTAGCGATTTAAAAAAAAAAAAAAAATCAAAATCAAAGCCTTTGTAACTGAGAGCAGAAATGCCTCACTGGCTGCCAGGAACCAGAGGGCTTGCAATAGCTGCAGAGGGGAGAGATTACAGAGGCTGCAGACAACAGGTCTGCAGTGTTTGCTTTTCATTTACTCCCAAAGAAAACAAGCAGAAGAAAACACATGCATGTTTCCTTTCTGGTATATCTACTAAATAATGAAAAGCAATTAAATGGAGTGTACCTTTAAAAATAATCAACCGAATAAAAAAAAATATGTCTGCTGACAAACAAGCATTCATTTATATATGATAGTCAAGGAAATGTTTAAATGGTTACTCCAAACACCATAAACACTTATGTTTTCAACTTACTACACTGCACTCCGTCGTGGACTGTTTAATGTCAATTCTGTGCAAAAAAATATGCCGGACATTACCGTTATCTGCTTGTCCCCTTATAGCGCTCTGGCCCAGAGAGCATGGTCCAATCAATTGCTTCTCTAGGAGAAACCTTTTACAGGACCAGGGATGACACGGCATGAAAACCAGCGCAGAAAGCTTCAAAGTAAGTTTTTACCCATTTTGTGATTTTAAAAAAGGTAGGTGGACAATTATAGTGCCCAACAGGGCATTACTAGCTTTGACACCCAGACCACTTCAGCTTAATGAAGTTGTCTGGGTGACAGGTCCAGCTAGGTTTAACCCTTTTTGCTGTAAACATAGCAGTTTCAGAGAAACTGCTATGTTTACATTAGGGTTAATCCAGCCTCTAGTGGCTGTCTCATTGACAGCCGCTAGAGGCACTTTCGCGCTTCTCACTGTGATTTTCACAGTGGAAAAAGAGGTAAATTTAACTCCTTCCAACCCCTAGAGCCCGGCGGGAGGGGGACCCTGAAGGTGGGGGCACCCTCAGGGCACTATAGTGCCAGGAAAACGAGTATGTTTTCCTGGCACTATAGTGGTCCTTTAAAATTACTTCATGTGAAAAATGATTATAGTAAGTATTAAAACAATGTACTAGAGTAGTCTCAACTGAAACCAAATACATGAAACTAATGATGAGCTTGTATTTTGGTTTTGTCCTGTGCATGTTAACATAAAAAACCCAAACATTAATACATTTGGTTTATAAAATTTATCAATTGTCATACACTTAATTCATAAAAACTGGCTAACTTACCAAAAGATTTGTAGGAAAATAATGACCTTCTGTTGTCTTTCTGAAAACTACTGCGAGGACTATCCCGACCTCTTGGCTCGATTGACCTGAGATGAACATAGGTGCTAGTAAATCACATGTGCTAATCCATAGAACCAATTAGATTTTAGAAAATCCCTAGACTCCATTTTGGTAACTGATCCTCCTGAAAGAGTCTAGCTTTCAAATGGAGAACACTAACACTGCGGTGGTTATGGTGTCAGGAGTGCTCTGGTTTCCTTCCATTGTATGTAATCAAACCATTTTTGAGCACTGGGGTTTGCAGGGAGTAACTCTCAACCTGCACTACGAACAACATAGAGCTGGAAGCTCTCGGTCAGGGAAGTCAGGGCATTCTTGGCACCATAACCACCACAGCTCACACTAGTGGCTGCTTGGAGTGTTTCTTTAACACAACTTAGGGGGCATTTTTTATATTTTATACAATGGTGTAATATTTTATGAAGTGACGGTCCAAAGTACAAAGACATGTAGTATATTTCACAAATAATTCTAACAGATCAAAATGTGGCTACATGTTCCTGGACAATTATCACATCTACATGCAGAAGGGCAGAGCATAAGAGGCACTGCTCTGCGGTATGTAGAATTCACACAATGAAGGATGGAAATCAGTTACCTAGTCAGGGAATCCAATACGAACTACCTTGGTTAGCGAGTTCCTTCTGGAAACGCACGAATTTTGCATACTATAAGGTAGCACTTTTCATGCACTTAAACTGCCATCAATGACGTAAACTACTGATCTAGCGCAATGCATCAGAAGAGCCAACATTCATTTATGAATTACCTTTGTCCGAGCATTTTTGAGCGTGCTAAATGTGCCCTAAATGCAGCTTGCAGGAAACTCACAGCTTCATCTTCATTCTTATAGTTATCGGAGGTGTCCTGCAATTAAAGCAAAATGGTCACTGAAGACATATATATTCATTTATGGTTGTGTATATAATACTGGGTTTCTCTGCAAATGTACACTGCTATGTAAAAGACAGCACTTAAAGGAACACTGTAGTTACCAAGACCATTTCATCTTAATGAAATTGCATGGGTATAGTGTCCCTGTTCTCTTAACCCTGCAATGTAAAACATTGTAGTTTCTTACAAAACGGCAGGGTTGCCATTGCAGGGTTAAAGAGTCACTATAGGCACCCATACTTTAAATAGGAATATAGTATTTCTCACACTATTGTGTTCCTTTATCATAAAGGTATGGGCTCTTTTTTGAGGAACTAAATAAGTTAAGTGTTGTCCGCAAACATCTAGAAAGGTGTGATTGTGATGGCATTGTTAATTTATAACTGCCACCCATAAACAGGTAGATAATTATGAAATGACAGACTGTGATGCCTTATAATAAAATGGAAAGTATACCTTTCAAGTTACTCAAATTAACTATTTTGTTCTAAATTTCACTAAGTTGCCTGACAGCTTATCACAAGTCATGATTTGTTGAAAGAATAACCTAAACATCACTCTAACATCACTCATATCCATTATACGTTACTGTGGTGGTTATGCTACAATGAACCTTTGTGTGGAGGCACTCTGATATTTCTCAAAACATTTTAGCAGTTTTATAAGAACTGCGGCTCTCCCACGACACAAAGTGCAAGCCCTCTGGGCCACGTCCCAATTATCCATACCAATCTATTGAAATTTAAATTGCATTAAGAGCATGTGGCTTTGCCCACTACTTTTATTCAAACCTCATTAAATGGTTTGAGAAAAAAAAACAAAAAACTGAGGGTCCTCACCCAAATTTCTGCATGACAGCCATTACAATAAGTTGCAGTAATCATCGTGATTAGAGTGTGGTATATGCCACTCTGTACTTAATAAAGAAACATTTTTGAGAGATGACATTGCTACCCACCTGATCTGTGAGGCTCTCTGCTTTGGGAGACTTTGAACGAGGTAGTGAACCGGTAGATAAATACTTCTGTCTTGCTAAATGTCCTCGTAAAGCTGCCTGAAGTAAAGTCACCTATGAAAGTAGAAGCAACAAAGTTAAATACAGACCGGGAGGGCTGAATATAGAAAAATCGTTGCATCATAAAAAACAATGACCACAATTTCCTAGTCGCTGCTAAAAACACAGTGCTTATGCGAAAGTGCAAGGTCTGGTTCAGGACACTAATATGCAAGGTTTCCACTAGTGGACTTTGTATAATTGCAGTCGATTATGCTTACTAATCGAATAACTGATCCTATAAGCTATAGAATAATTAATTAATATAGATCTTTGTTCTATGTTAAATAAAAGACACTTCATCTAATTTCCCATTTTCCTATAAACAAGATGGAGTATGATGTAATGCCTATTGCTCCATAATGCAGTTAGTGGTGTTAAAGTGCCACTACTCTTACATTACGAAAGTGAGCAGGATGTAGAATTTTAGAGTAAGTAATATCTTGGAATGAGTCGCATGCATGCCCTAATGTGATGCTTGCTGGAAGAGGTTGGTTCCTCTTCCACACTTAAGGCCATGCTCCCCATAACTGTTCAAATTCTTTTTAGGTTAATGACCTTACTTGGTCCCCAATGCTTCCTAGATACAGCAAGGTTGGCATGTTTACCTAAATTTAGATAGAAATTAGCTAAGTCAAGGGTGAAAAGAGATACCATCTACACAAGGAAACTGTAACAACACTCCAGAGACATGTGAAATGGATGACATCTATCGCTAAACTTATCACAATCACCGAGGCTTATAGTAATGCATGATGGCCTTGGTTTAATACTTTTTCAAAATGAATTAATACGGTTAGAAAAACTTTTAAAACTGTTTAGCTACAGAAGTCACCATTAAAGTTTATAGGAATTTTTGTAAATAAATTATTTTGAAAGATTGTTTTTGTAGATGAATCATTTGGAAAGCTTTTTAAATGAAGGCCTATGCTTCCTCTGTTGTCCAGGGCCACCTCAGATAATGAAGAATTGTTTTAGGTCCAGAAATAACTAAAGAAGATGGTAATACGTTCACAATGACAGTTCATTTGAGCCGACCCTGCTCCACACGCCTCGTCACGTCCAACAAAAATAGTTCTACAATTGCAGCTGCATTATGGTGTTCCTGCAACACAATGTTCTCGAATAATGGGTCTTATCAAGACCTGAGGTTAATCCAATAAACAGTGTTTTCGAAACCAAATTGTAGAATTTGGCTAAATTGGCAGAATTAGAGATTTTGTATTGTTTGTTATTCAATTCGACCCCTTCAGAATAAATCTGGAAAGTCAGCCGTTAACTGCTTATCAGACGAACCTCTAGAATACAACTGAAAGTGGTTGCCTGTCTAACCTGTGGCACTCAAAACTATGTGAGTTATGATTACCATTTGGTCTCCTGAAAAACCTTTCACCTCTTCTGAGTTTTCGATTTTTTTCTAGAGAAGAAAAACAAACATAATAATTAAAAATGGACATACCGGTCTATGTACATTGACAACTAATACACAAAATTGTTAAATAATATGCTTTGTTTAAAACTTGTGATACCATGAAGAATATGAAACACACTGCTAACAACCTTTTTTTTTATTTAAACGACTCAGGTTCTGTGCAGTCTTCCATACTGGACATGTTTTAGAGGCCTACTGACCTACGTATTAAATCCATACCTTGCTTTTATAGAGTTTCCAGTTCTTTTGTATTAGCTGGGCGGCTTCCTGTTTGCGCTGCCTTTCTGTTGGCGTAATTATGGACGGTGAATCTGACATTACACTACGTGTGCTCCTTGCAGAACTGGGACGGGATCCCTGTAATTCATTCTGTCACAAGGAAATAACGGTGTTGATAGGCATTTTATATTCACTGAATCAGTTTTCAAATAAATACAGTTAATAAAATAAGATGGAGCTGGTCTGGCACATTTTTAATAATTTATACCGCTGATTATATTTACATATTTTTTTTTTTTTAACAAAACAAAATAAAATGTAAGTGTTTTTTGTTCAAGTGGTGGAGATGCAGTATTTAACTTTTCCTAATGGTTTTATGTTATTTTTATGCACTTGTATTTATTGTATGAAGTAAAATTCTATGAAATTGAAAAGTAATAAAAATGGTAAGAACATGATCTTGCATAGGTTATTATCAGTAGTGACTATGGTAAAGACTATTGTAGGATTCCTATAGTAGAGGAGTGAAGCTGAACTTTATATTGGAGAAGCAAAGCTGTAAGAGTTCTATAACAAAGAAGTGACGTTGTAAGGGCTCTACAAAGGAGGAGCGAAACTGTAAGAGGTCTATAAGAAAGAAGTGACGTTGTAAGGGTTCTACAGAGGAGGAGCGAAGCTGTAAGAGTTCTATAACAAAGATGTGACATTTTATGGTTCTACAGAGGAGGAGCGAAGCTGTAAGAGTTCTATAACAAAGAAGTGACGTTGTACAGAGGAGGAGCGAAGCTGTAAGAGTTCTATAACAAAGATGTGACATTTTATGGTTCTACAGAGGAGGAGCGAAGCTGTAAGAGTTCTATAACAAAGAAGTGACGTTGTACAGAGGAGGAGCAAAGCTGTAAGAATTCCATAAGAAAGAAGTGACGTTGTAAGGGTTCTACAGAGGAGGAGCGAAGCTGTAAGAGTTCTATAACAAAGATGTGACATTTTATGGTTCTACAGAGGAGGAGCGAAGCTGTAAGAGTTCTATAACAAAGAAGTGACGTTGTACAGAGGAGGAGCAAAGCTGTAAGAATTCCATAACAAAGAAGTGACGTTGTAAGGGTTCTACAGAGGAGGAGCGAAGCTGTAAGAATTCTATAACAAAGAAGTGACCGTGTAAGGGTTCTACAGAGGAGGAGCGAAGCTGTAAGAATTCTATAAGAAAGAAGTGACGTTGTAAGGGTTCTACAGAGGAGGAGCGAAGCTGTAAGAATTCTATAACAAAGAAGTGACGTTGTAAGGGTTCTACAGAGGAGGAGCGAAGCTGTAAGAATTCTATAAGAAAGAAGTGACGTTGTAAGGGTTCTACAGAGGAGGAGCGAAGCTGTAAGAATTCTATAACAAAGAAGTGACGTTGTAAGGGTTCTACAGAGGAGGAGCGAAGCTGTAAGAGTTCTATAACAAAGAAGTGACGTTGTAAGGGTTCTACAGAGGAGGAGCGAAGCTGTAAGAGTTCTATAACAAAGAAGTGACGTTGTAAGGGTTCTACAGAGGAGGAGCAAAGCTGTAAGAGTTCTATAACAAAGAAGTGACGTTGTAAGGGTTCTACAGAGGAGGAGAGAAGCTGTAAGAGTTCTATAACAAAGAAGTGACGTTGTAAGGGTTCTACAGAGGAGGAGCGAAGCTGTAAGAATTCTATAACAAAGAAGTGACGTTGTATGGGTTCTACAGAGGAGGAGCAAAGCTGTAAGAGTTCTATAACAAAGAAGTGACGTTGTAAGGGTTCTACAGAGGAGGAGAGAAGCTGTAAGAGTTCTATAACAAAGAAGTGACGTTGTAAGGGTTCTACAGAGGAGGAGCGAAGCTGTAAGAATTCTATAACAAAGAAGTGACGTTGTATGGGTTCTAAAGAGGAGGAGCAAAGCTGTAAAATTTCTACAAAAGAGAAGTGACGTTGTAAGGGTTCTACAGAGGAGGAGAGAAGCTGTAAGAATTCTATAACAAAGAAGAGATGTTGTATGGGTTTTATAGAGCAGGAGCAAGGCTGTAAGAGTTCTATAACAGAGATGTGATGTTGTATGGGTTCTACAATGGAAGTGAAGTTGTAAGTGTCCTAAAGTGCAGGAGTGAAGTTTTAAGAGTGCCATAGATGAGCAAAGTGATTTGTAAAGAGTGGAGGAGAACTCAACATGTATTTTTCTTCCTTTTATTTGAAATTGCATATGTTTAAAAAAAATAAAAAAAATAAAAATTGAAAAACTGTTGGCTTTGTTAGAAATCATACTAATAACCTTTTTTACAGCTTTCAGCGTGGCTTCCTTCTCGTGCTTTTCATCCTCCAGCTCGGCCTCCAACTTCTTTATTTTTTGCTTAAGTCGCTGAATTTCTTCTCTAAAGGGTCAAAGCACATGTTCGTCTTATTATTTCATAAACACAAATCAAGGGGAAATGTGATTACTGAATGAGAAGGGTGTCTAAGGAAACCTAAATGCTATGGAACCTTAGTTAAAGGGAAACAGGGAAACATTAAGCACCCAATTTTTTTTTTATTTAGAATGTTATAAAGTTCCAATGTATAAATCATGCATCTGAAGTCTTACTGCTCAATTCTCTGCCATTTAGGAGTTAAATCACTTTTGTTTCTATTTATGCAGCCCTAGCCACACCTCCCCTGGCTATGACTTACACAGACTGCAATTTCATTTTCAATCAGATCTTATTTACTTTAGTTGTTTTTATCTCCTGCTCTGTAAATTGAACTTTAATCAAATACAGACGAATCCTGCAAGGTCTAGTGAGCTATTAGAGCAGGAGATAAGGAATTTTAAATTAAACAGAATTTGCAGTAAAGGAAGTGTAAACATTAGATGACTCATTACAGGAAGTCTTTAGGAAGGCTGTGTAAGTCACATGCAGGGAGGTGTGACTAAGGCTGCATAAACAAAGTGATTTAACTCCCAAGTGGCAGAAAATTTAGCAGTGAGACTTCAGGGGCATGATGTATACACATAAACTGCTTCATTAAGCTAAAGATGTTTTGGTAACTAGTGTCCCTTTAATGAAGCAGTGTTGGTGTATAGAACGTGCCCCTGCAGTCTTGCTCCTTAAGTCGCTGACATTTAAGAGTTAAATCATTTTTCTCTATACAGCCCTAGCCACAACTCACAAGAATGTAAGCCTGCATGGAAAAAATGGTTTCATTTTCTATCAGATCTGAGAGCACAATGTGGTTATTTTATAATTATTTTATCTCCTGCTCTGTTAATTGAACTTTACACATAGAAGCCTTTTGCAGCGTCTAGAATAAATATACATATATACACTGTATACTTACGGTACCTCCCTCTACTGTAATGTAAACAGTAATTTTCTAAATACACCTGTTAGTGCTATGTAAATAAATATATATATACACTGTATAACTATTGCACTGCACTGTAATATGACCTGTAATGTGCTAAGTACACCTGTTGGCGCTATATAAATATAATATATATAGAGTGTATAAATACTGCTCTTCCTGTACCTCCCTGTAATGTATAAAGTGTTAAGTACACTGCTTATCGTTCTATAAATGAATATACTGTACACCTATTGTATTCACTGTACCTTCCCTCGACAGACTGCTAAAATCACGTTTTTACTGATATAAGGAAGGCGGGAGGAGATGCTCTCTGATTTAGCACAAGGTTTCATCATTAGATGTGGGTTCTATAACCAAGCAGCGGCCCAAAGCAGCCGTGAGCATACATTAAACACATACCTCTCTGCGTTCCTATCCGATGCTTTTTGTAGTTGTTTCTCCAGTTCTGTCTTTTCTTGCTTGAGTTTTTTTGTCTCTGACCTGCAAACACATTAAAATCATTGCATTGCAGTATAGCGTGGGAGTTAAAACCACGAGCACCGGTATCCTTCACAAATAGTTTTTGCAGGCAGCATAGATCCCACGCAAGCCATTGCAGATTGCAAACTCATGGTATGCTTGCTGTCAAGGCCAAAGCATGTCTACTAACGGCAAGTGAGGTACAAAAAAACACAGCATGCTATGATTGAATGCATATTGAAAACCACCGTGCGATAAACAGAACAATGAATTCTTAAGTTCAACAATGTTTCAGAAGTAATGCCAAAGAGAAAGCAGATGTCAGAAAGTAGTAAAGGTCTATTAGCCAATCCTTTTGATTCATTTTCTACAGGGGTTCCAAGTATATCCCATGAACCTCTGCTTTGTGGAACAAACCTTTACAGAATTTTATATAGACATAATCTTCCTCTAAACAGAAAGTTGCTAAATAACCAGAAGACCCACATTTATTCAGAAATGTAAATTCTCTTACTCTTTGGTTTCTAGAAAAACTTGAAGTGCTCCTCGGTCTTCTTTTACTTTCGTAATTAATTTCTTCAAGCGCTCGCATTCTTCTTTAAGGTCAGGCTTGGGCTGGATTAAATCGCCTTCTTTCTGAGGTTTAAGATCTCCAGAGCCTTCCTCTGCAGAGGATGGACTCTGCTTCTCCAACTTCTGAGCATTGAAAAAATAAAATATTATTAGAAGCAAAACAGGGACGAGTGTCTGAGCAAGAGGTACTTAAAGGGACTTAAACTACAGCTTATTGAATTTGTTCTAGTGAGTAAAATAATTACCTTCAGGCTTTTTGATGTAAACACTGTCTTTTCAGAGAAAATGCAGTGTTTACATTACAGCCTAGGGATAACTTCACTGGCCACTCCTTAGATGGCTGCTAGAGATCCTTCCTGGGCCATGGCTGCCTAAAATGCATCCAAACATTCAGTATCTCCTCCCTTTGCATGCAGACACTGAACTTTCCTCATAGAGATTCATTGATTCAATTCATCTCAATGAGGAGATGATGATTGGCCAGGGCTGTGTTTGAATCATGCTGGCTCTGCCCCTGATCTGCCTCTTTGTCAGTCTCAGCCAATCCTATGGGGAAGCATTGTGATTGGATCAAGCTATCACATGTCAGCAGACTGCTTGTTTTTCCTGAGTCTAACAGCATGCAGATTTACAGCTTCATGCTTGAATAAACTAAGATTTTGCTATATTTATGGAGGCATGAAGGGCCCAGGGGGGCTAGATGGTGGTGTTAACACTATAGGGTCAGGAATACTTTTTTGTGTTCCTGACACTATAGTGATCCTTTAAATAAAATGAAAACAGCTCACAGAAGACTGAAATCTGGTTTTAGAAATATCACCTTTTCAAGTTCTGAAATTCTTCTCACCAGCCTCTGCTTACTCCAGTCACTGTAACCTTTAAATCAGGAGAATATTAAATCACACAAATGTGCTATTTAAATATGTTGTCCCCCCCTCCCCCCTGGATAATCTGTCATGCATTTCATATAAAAGTTTTATATCTAATTCTAGATTATTGCAATCAGATTTCTATTTAAAAAGTGTCCTTGTTAAAAAAATTAATTAAAAAAAATGTATTAAAAGACTATTTTACTTAATGTACTTCTTAGCCTACAGCTCCTCAATCTAAGGCTTGATTTTTTTTTTTGTTGTTGCAATTACTGTACTTGTGCACAATGTAAAAGCACTCACTAATACATGGAGGGAAAGGCTGCAAATTCTCATGTGTAAGAATTAATCAATGGTAAGGTAAAATAAAGTTGCTATGACTACCATGGAAATAAACTAGAAATAGGTAAAAAATTAGGGTAATACAATTTTAAATAACCCGAGATATCGTTAAATGTATGTGCGAGGGATAAGGGACATAGGTTTATGTAGACATTACAATGTAAAATTCTCATTGCCTTCTGAATCAATAAAAGGAATAAATCTTTAATGTGCTTAAAAATCTGCCAGTGATTTCTGTGATGCCAGTGATTTTAGAACTATTTAGAGCTGTTAAGTTCTACTGTAACCGGGGACTTTCGGATGCTGGCCAGCAAAACAAATTCCGAACACAACTTGCATATCACTTGTGCACATGTATAAGAAACCACTCAATGTGTAGATGCAGTGTTATAATAAGGCACTGGTCGCTTAAATCCCCCCAGAAACTATGATAGATAGTTACGTTAGACATGAGTCCATCAAGTTCAGCATTTCTCACATCTGTTTTTGCTGTTGATTCAAAAGGCAAAAAAAAATAAAGCCGTTTGACTCACTTTCCAGTTCTGGAACAAACTAGGAAAAAAATTCATTTTTGATCCTAGAATGGCAGTCAGATCTCTCCTTCGATCGAGAATCTATTACCCGACTAATTAAAAATGGTATCCCTGAATATTATGTTTTTCCAAGTATTCATCCAGTTGTTTAAACATCTGCACTGACTCTGATAAAAGCACCTCTGCAAGCAGAGAATTCCACATCATTATTGTTCTTACTATAATAAACCCTTTCCTTTGTCTTTTACTAATCTTTGATTATACTGTTTTGATATCACTTTCACAACTACTATACATTTTTAGGGAAAAAAATAATAACCAAGGGATCTGTTCTATGAAATATGAAGAAGAGATCACATCAAAATGTAAATTTAGTTTATGTTTAAAAAAAAAAAAATTCACAGGTTGGCAGCCAAGACATTTGGTGCTCTAAAGAGAATGTTTCATTTTTCTTATCACTTTTGACATTTTAAATACTAATAAAAAAGTGAGCAATGCACTGCTAGTAAAAATGTAATTGTAAAGGGACAATAATTGAACTAACCAAAGTATTTATTTAAAAAAAAAAAAAAAAAAAAGAAAAATATCAAACCCCATCTGGCTTTTAAAAACTAAAAGTTAAGCGATTCTATCTCTGAACATTTTACAAAATGTTGCTAGCATGTAAAGTGAAAGTCGATTGGTATTGCCGTCTTTTTTTTTTATACTTAACCCCTTAAGGACCAAACTTCTGGAATAAAATGGAATCACGACATGTCACACGTGTCATGTGTCCTTAAGGGGTTAAAGAACGAAAAAGATGTTTAAAAACAGACAGTTCTGAGCATTTTTTTGTGTTAACATTTTCTATGCAAATTGCCTGGATAAAGACGTATTTTGCTTACACAATTAATACAATGTTTTTGCCTCCCATTTTGACTTTTCCTAAATCAAATGTATTTAATCTAAATTGATTCTGGAAGAGGTTATCTTCTATAGTTATGTGATTGGCACCTTTAGACTTGGCAGACATAGGAGACTTGGACAACGCTCTGTCCAGATCAGTTTTTAAGCTGTGATTCTCCTCCTGCAATTCCTTTACACGCTTGGATAATCGCACCACTGCGGAATTCAGGACTTTCTGTGTTTTCTGAGACTCTTTACTTTCTGGTGGTGATCTGCCACAAGAATAGACAGCAATTAAAATAAAATAACTACTGTTAAAAGAAAAAGAAAATTATTTTAAAGGGTACTCAGTCCAAAAAAACGTGTTTTAATACCCATGTCCTCCCCTCAAAATAACAAACAAAACAAAAACATACTTGCGACCCAATGTCAAGTTTTCCTCTGATGACATCACTCAGTGCCCTTTAAGGAGGGTGGGTTGAATGGAGGGCTTGCTTGGGTGGCACAGGGAGAGGGAGGGGTGGGGAAATACTCCCATGTTTAATCTGTCACCAGCATGTATACGTGCCAACGACATATGCCCAAAATGCGCAGATTTAACATTAGCCAGCCTGGCTAATGGCGCTGTCAGAGATGGAGGTACACATGTGGCAGCATGTTCCTATATCTCTTTCTAACTGAAACAATGCACAAACAGAATCCAAGCTATATGTGCACTTGGAGTGGTCGTGGTGATTGGAGAAATCCTTTAAACATTACTAGAATAGTTTGATCATATTGGTTGTGATGTAAAACACACCTTTTCTCTCTTGTTTCAAATTTAGCCAGCAGTAACTGCAGCCGTTGAATCTGTGAACATGAAAAGAAGCTGTAATCCATTGCCATGTACTAGAAAAGAGAGGCTGCGGCACACAGAAGCAGAGATTGGGTTGAGTCACAAAGGGAAGCATCATGATAAACATATGTTCTGGAGGCCTGGGGAGGTGAGAGTTTTAAAAGCAGACACATTTAATGGGACTGTCTACGCACCAAAACCGCTTTATCTTAAAGGAACATTCAAAGCACCATAACAACTTATTTTTAGTGTACCATGTGCATTAAATGTAAACAAAGTTATTATGAAAATTATTATTGATTTACTCAATATTATGTTTTAGGACTCTAAGTCTAAGCTGCAGACCATAACAAATTCTTTTTTGTGGATTGTGGGCATATTGCACTTGCTTTGTGACTATTTGCATACCACGGTGGATTTTCTATTGTTAGTAATTAATTTAGCTAGAATGTGTGGCAGTGGCGAGGGGGTTTTATACACATCCCGCTTTCTCATTACCATTTGGGTGACTGTACCTATCCCTATTCTCCGTTTTCGATGTACTCTTCTACGTTTCTATCTTTTCTTTTCATTAATATAGGAAGAGCTCCCTCTACCTGATACTTCGGACATAGCACATCTCACTGAGACCAAATTCTATAAATCATGGCTTTCTGAAAGATCATGTCTTAAGCCACTACCACAAATAAATAATGTATTTTAACACATTATATGAATAGTGCACTGAATACATACAACATTAACAAAAAATAAAGAAAAACTCAAAGTGGGGACAAAACGTCTTGCAGCTGCACAAATGAGAGTGGTTTATGGGAGAAGTAGTTTACTCCCAGGCAGAGTTCTACTCATCACATATGATAAGTGGAACTACTAAACCAGGCAATATCACACATACTGAATGTGCTATAAGTTTATATCCAGCCCAGTTCACATGTTGTAAATCAGGCTGTTTGCAGCGAATGTGCAGCCTCCACTCAAAGAGAGCGATTCTTTTTCACACGTCCTGTCTAATGTAAAAATTCCCATCTTTGCTGTGTCTCAGCCATGGGTGTTTAACAGCTGCAGACCGCTTTACAAATGGCTGCAGTTATAAGCCATTCTCATCAGGGATAGTGGATACTGGCTATTATCTGCACCATAAGCTTACAATAATGTAAAGTTGTTATGGTGCTTTGGACGACCATTTAGATTAATATAGTTTTGGTGGTTGATTCCAGATTAATAATAACTGTCCTTTATACGTCTGTTAAGTGTAACAGGACATACCTCTTCGTAATAGGTTTCCATAGCCATCTTCATCTCCTCCAGGCTTGTTGTCTTCAGATCTGTCTGGAGTTTGCTAATGGAATACAAAAAATAAATAAAAAAAAGATACAATTACACAATACTCCCTAAGAAAATTTGATTGAGTGGTTTCATATTTTCATGATCCCATTTGTAAAGCATGATACAATTTTTAAGGAAAGCTGTCATCATTTTTTACTATTATGAAAAAAAATAATCACAAAAAGTATAGCCTCTGTGTGTATTATTTTGTAATGTTTAAACTAAATAACTCTTTTCATGCTTGTCTAGTTTAGCCTTGCTCTATGGGGGGGGCGGCCATCTTTAAGTCCTCTTTGGTCAGACGCACTGCTTACCTGACAAAAACAGTGAATGTAATCAAGAATCTTCACATCTTGAACAATCAACAAAGCATCTCAAAAATGCACTTCTGGCAGATATCAGGTATTAAAATTGCACAGATAAGTGGTTCATCAGCTAAAAGGGGCATCTCCATAGAAATAGCTAAGCATGGGCAAGCCAGGCCATGCGGGTAAAAGAGTTATTAACGTAAAAAAAACATATATTCATTAATAAAAACTGAAGACGGTTTCGTTTTAAAGACATCAAATGAGAAAAATAGAGAGAAGGACGTTTATGGGATTATGTACCTTAGGGCATTATCCTTTTCCTTACATTGCTTTTCCAATTTCAGGATCTTTTGTTTAAGATTGTTTACCAGCTAGAACAAACAGAGATTAAAGTCACACCATGTAATATGTTTTATTTCTTCTGTATTTAAAAGAGATGGGTAGCACAGCATTTTTTGTTTACAAGGGATCGCTGAGTAAACACACGGTTTTCTTCACTTCTCAGGGATTTTCAAACAGTCCCATAAATAAAAGTCGAATACAAAATTCAGTATTAATTAAGTCTTAATTAAAATTAAAGGGACACTCCACACACAGTAAGTACGTCAGCATGTTGGAGTGATTCAGGTGTGAGAAGAATCTCCTATTGCAGGCATAGGCAACCTTTGGCACTCCAGATGTTTTGGATTACACCTCCCATGATGCTTTGCCAGCATTATGGGTGTAAGAGCATTATGGGGGATCTAGTCCACAACATCTGGAGTGCCGAGGGTTGCCTATCCCGGTCCAATTGATTGCAGTGTAACAATTTTCTCTGAAGTTGACTCTTTTTTTTTTTTATAAAAAAAGTGTAAGAAACGGCTCACTGGCTGTCAATCTGGTAGGAAGGTTTTTCTGCCGATTGCTAGAGCTCACCTGCTACTCTCCAAAGCATATCTCAACCGCACCCACAGAGCCCACTTCAGTTCTGCCTGCTGACCCCCTGGCTTTGAGGCAGGAAAATTTGGGCTGAAAGTTGTGAGCACTTACTGCTCAAATCAGAGGCTTTGCAATAATTGAAGTATTTAGATATACCCCAATAATCAGATGCAGCAATAAATTCATGCATTTCTCATTAGAAGTATATCTACTACATAGTTTTTAAAAACAAATTCTATTGGAGTGTACCTTTAAATGTTTATTTGCGATTACAAATGTGTATCCTGCCCGTATGATTAAATTAGAGGTGCCGCTTCTCTTGAAATCAGACTATTGAATTAAACATTAAAAAAGACCAATAACTTGTGCCAACCCTTTTTATGTGGTGCTCCATTTTCTTCTAAAATCAATTAACAAGTGACATTGCCAGTAACAGATCGGTTGTCTGTGACACGCTGGGGGTGGGTTTTAGGGGTGTAAAAATGTTTATTTATAAAAAATTTAATTTCTATTTAAACCTGCACTTTTTGTAAAATGGGAAAAAGGTCACAATTTTCACATTTAAAGGACTTCAGTGAGCTGAGGTGATTTAGGTGTGTGGAGTGTTCCTTTAAAAATTCTAGGAAGTGAATGTACCAATTTAAATGCCTTTTTTGACTTATTTGATGACTTGGAACATCTTATCTAGGAAACAATATGGTTAATATTAAGATTACTTACCATACTGCTATCATTTTTTTTGTCCACCAAGCTTCTTGTATATTCTGAGCTCTGTCCAAAAGAAAAAAAAAAATCTGCTTGGTGGCAAACCACAGACATTTTAACTTGGAATAGTAATTAAAAGGATCAAAAATAATTAATTACAAATACAATGGAAAGATACAATCCGTGGTTTTTTAGTTCACATTGCAGTCAAACGAAACACTGATTTAATTACTTACTTAAAATAATTCAATAAACTATGATTAAACAGTAGAATATTCTGATTATTTTACCATTAAGGGGGTTATTATTTTTTTTTTATTTGGTAATGTTAGGCACTTTTATGGCATGATGCCTAAGGCATGATTTTTGCAAAACAAAAATATTTTTAAATTTTTTTTTTACATTAGTCCCACTTTATGGTCTCCTACGTCTACGAGGGACTGAGAACCACTCTCACAGGTAAATTGTAGATTCTGACATTACCCATTCATTTGCAGAAGTGGCTTCATTTTTCTGCACTCATTTGTCAGCTCACTGTTCTAGGTAATTAAATTATTCTTTCAAATTTAGTATAAAAATCCAAACAAACAAAACGCTTCTGATGATGGAAAACAGGGAAACCCGAGCAAACTAACAGTTTAAAAGAATAATTAGAGTAAAGAAAAGCGGGATTAGAGGGGGAATATAAATGTGGTATATAACAAACCCTGGAAGGATCCAGTAGCTGTTCAATCTGCCTATCTTTCCGACTGTTCTCCTCCTCCAGTCTTCTCAGTTTTGTTTTCATTATGTCACACTCAGATTTCTGATTCTGCAACGTCTGAAAAAAAAAAAGAAAAAAAAAAAAAAAAAGAGGGTGTACGGAGTGATTAACGACATAATTCATGATAACACTTTATTGATAATAACCTATGTAGCTATATATGATTTGATGTAAGTATCACAAGAGATACAAAAAATAAAAACGTAACACATGACCTAAGGGACATCAAACACCAATGTAATTTCTCATTTAAAACAGTGAAAAAAAAAAAAAACAAACACAAAAAAAAATTCAATAAACAATCAATATTAGAAAGAAACAAAAATCCCACAACATCCAGAAACTGGTTCAAACCATATTCTGAAAATGAAAATCCAGCGCACTCGCTTATCTACTAAACAGTCATTTTAATGCTGAACAATTTTCAGTTTTATTAAAAACACCTAATCTAGGCAAAAAAATATAATGGGGGTTTAGTTACAGTATATGCTCATACATTGCATAAGCCTGCCACAACGTCAATGTACCCCATCTTTGGCAGGTCCTACTCTGTCTGCTAAATGAGCTTCTCACTTGGGGAAATCCTTCCATCTCGAGGTCTCTGCAGTACAATGCCTCATCTCAGGATCCTATTTAAGCATTGTACTGCAGAGACCTCGAGATGGAAGGATTTCCCAAAGTGAGAAGCTCATTTAGCAGACAGAGTAGGACCTTCCAAAGATGGGGTACATTGGCATTGTGGCAGGCTTATGCAATGTATGATCATATACTGTAACTAAACCCCCATTATATTTTTTTGCCTAGATTAGGTGTTTTTAATAAAACTGAAAATTGTTCAGCATTAAAATGACTGTTTAGTAGATAAGCGAGTGCGCTGGATTTTCATTTTCACTGTACTTATTGGCCCCCAGCAGCACCCTAATTTAGCATGTGTAGGTGAGTGCAGCCAAACCCTTATTTTCTCATATATGTATATATTTAGGAGTCTAGCCAGCTCCATGGGTTTTGCACCCCTCCCTGTTACAGGTGCCTCATCTCAGGATCCTATTTAAGCATTGTACTGCAGAGACCTCGAGATGGAAGGATTTCCCCAAGTGAGAAGCTCATTTAGCAGACAGAGTAGGACCTGCCAAAGATGGGGTACATTGACGTTGTGGCAGGCTTATGCAATGTATGATCATATACTGTAACTAAACCCCCATTATATTTTTTTTGCCTAGATTAGGTGTTTTTAATAAAACTGAAAATTGTTCAGCATTAAAATGACTGTTTAGTAGATAAGCGAGTGCGCTGGATTTTCATTTTCACTGTACTTATTGGCCCCCAGCAGCACCCTAATTTAGCATGTGTAGGTGAGTGCAGCCAAACCCTTATTTTCTCAAACCATATTCTACCATGTTTCTCTTTTTGTTTCAAAATGCTGTAGGTGATGTTGTGACTTAGATGTCTGGTTGTAATTCAGGTATAACTCCCATAAACAGTTTGTCGTGTCCATAAAGCAGCTCATCAACAAACGTATCTGACAATATCTCCTCCACTCTTATAATACAATACATAGCACTACCTTCTTCAAGTCTATGATCTGGTCATACATATGTTCTTTCTCTTTGTAGTCTGGTGTCCCCGGGATATAACCTTGGCATGTATAAAGATAAGAAATGATTACTTTATCAGATTATCAATTCACAGAAAATCGACAGACTAGCTCAGTTTAAAGCAGAAATGTTCAACATAAATAACGTGGTAATAAACATCAATACAGCCATCAATGCTCCCAGTGATTACATCTAAATAGTTACATTCACAATACCCACTTACCAAATCTAAATTTTGTGTAGATAGGCATCTCTTTAATTAATTATGTGATATGTTGCTCTCTACTCCAACTGTCATTTGCATAATGTATCATGTGCTAATGGCTGCTGTAAGTGCCAACTGCCAGATTTACATAACATTCCATCATGTGATAAAACACTCCGTTAAGTTTGCCGGTTAGTCCATCTGCTGTGGCAGGTCACATACCATCATGTAACCGAGGTTACGGTGTTTACCAGGAGCTGAGTTCTTGGTGGTCTCTAACTCACCATCATCTAACTTAATTTCATTTGATAAGATTGGTTATTATTTGCATTTGACACCCCCCCACCCCCACCCCGTGTACGGCAAGGTCTGATTCGGGTACTTTTAATAGTTCATGGACTTTATGATTTCCACCACTGTACTCTTTTTTTTCTCTCCTCATCACAGCAGCCATTATCACATGATAGATTATGTAAATGACAGTTGGAGTAGAGAGCAATTATCATTACAAAAAACCTGTTTGGGTCAGCTTGATCCTCAGTGGGACATAACTAATCTAGAGCAGGGATAGGCAACCTTTGGCACCCCAGATGTTGTGGACTACATCTCTCTTGATGCTTTGCCAGCATTGTGGCTGCAAGAGAATTATGGGAGATGTAGTTAAAAACACCTGAAGTGCCGTAGGTTGCCTACCCCTGTTCTAGAGGATTTGAATTACTTGTAATTACCATTGCTAGAAGAACGAGAGTATTTAGGTTTCTTCATCCCAAGAGCTTCTTTGAGATATTCTGGAGTGCTGCTTGTGGGACTGGCCCAGGCCTGTCCAGTGTCTGTGTTCGACTTCACAGGCTGAGTCACACCTAACGAAAGAGACACAATCAAAAGACACTGAAACTAGGCATATTGGATTCAACTTCTAGGTTCACATAGACAATCAGTAAACCTTTTAATTTTTTAGACCATCATAAAGACGTTTGATTTAAACACGGCGCCTTGAGAGAGCACAAAGTCTACATACACAATGCCATGGCCTCTGGCAATCAAAACTACTGTGAAAAGAAGAAACGATTGTGACACCGGGAGTGCGTTTAGATCTACATTAATACCTAGCAAAAACCTCATGTGTTAATGTAAGAGGACTGAAAGTTATGACACTGGTTTACAAATTGCAGCTAGAAGACAGAATCCTTACTGTTCCCTTGTTTTAGAGATGCCAGCCACAGCTGCCGTGGCACTTTGGCCATAGGGTTCTCGGTATGCATTTGACCCGTTCCTTTCAAAGACCGCCACACAGGAGCCTTGTTTGTGAACAGCTTAGCGCTCGAAAGATATGGAGAATCTGATTAAAAACAAACAAAATAACAGGTTTATTTGGCTGATGATCCTTTTTCTAACAAAGGTGGGGGGGCAGTTCTACAACATAAGTGCAAATCAACACAATTTGCCAGGGTAATGATGCCAATTATGATGATCACATTTACCAGGTCTGCTATACTGTTGGAACTGGAATACGACACAGTAAAGGAGTTTAAGCATGCGTGGTATAGGCATAAGGCTATCCTAACTATAAGATAAGGCCAGGGACTAATTAAAGTATCTAGAAAATTGGGCAGACTAGATGGGCCAAATGGTTCTTATCTGCCGTCACATTCTATGTTTCTAGTCAGTCTCAAAACATAAAAAGGTTTGGGACACCACAATCAATAAAACAGAACATTTATTAATGTTCTTTAAACTCAAAATGTGTGTTGTGGTTTATTTTTTACCCCCAGGTGAATTGCGGAAAACAATTCTTTAACGAACAGCTTTCCCTTCCTCAATTAAAGTACCATCTACTCAACTTTTTTTCTACATCTGAAAATTGTGTTTACTTTAATGACAACATATTTATACCAGCGCCTAGTTAGTGTAGGTACCACTATAATTCTCAGGGGTGAGAATTTAAATGTACATACGGGTAGCAGCAGGCATTCTGTGAGTTTATGGCATGTATGTGCAAAATATGTACTTTGGAACCCAGCCATGGTAATTAGTTGGAATAGAAGTCATGTTCTTTAGACACATAGAATGTTTCATATGTTAAACCGTTTAAACAAGTCTAGCCTAGTTTTGTGTTTTCTTATGGTTTTGTTAATTATAGAAACATAAAAAAATAGAATGTGACGGCAGATAAGAACCATTCGGCCCATCTAGTCTGCCCAATTTTCTAAATACTTTCATTAGTCCCAGGCCTTATCTTATAGTTAGGATAGCCTTATGCCTATCCCACACATGCTTAAACTCCTTTACTGTGTTTACCTCTACCACTTCAGCTGGAAGGCTATTCCATGCATCCGCTACCCTCTCAGTAAAGTAATACTTCCTGATATTATTTTTAAACCTTTGCCCCTCTAATTTAAGACTATGTCCTCTTGTTGTGGTAGTTTTTCTTCTTTTAAATATAGTCTCCTCCTTTACTGTATTGATTCCCTTTATATATTTAAATGTTTCTATCATATCCCCCCTGTCTCGTCTTTCCTCCAAGCTATACATGTTAAGATACTTTAACCTTTCCTGGTAAGTTTTATCCTTTACAATGTTTTACAATCACGCAATGGCGAAAGACAAAAAAAAAAAATGTTTTTTGTTTCCTTAATATTTATAGTTTAATTTTCAAATAAAAATCAAATGTACCGGTAATTAATATCAAGTTTTATTGACTGTGTGCCTCATATCCATCAGTGTTTTGGAACGGTTGCACAAACATTCCCTTTCTTTGGAACCCTTGTAATTATCTTTACACATAGGCTGCTTTTTATTATTCTTTTTAAAAAGTATTGTATTTTTATACTTACTTTGTAATCTTGAAGACTTTACTCCTTTCTTCTTCTTCACCTTCTGTAAATAAGAATTCAAATATTTAATTTAATTTAGAACCATTTATCCAAACTCGCAGTATACACCAGTAAACTGATCAGTGGCTAAGCCTACCTATATTTATGTGGTGAGATCTAAAAAAACGTCTGGAAATGGAGAGAGGGGTGAGGAGCAACTTCTGTATTAGGGTCTCGTTTTGATTTTACCAATATGAAGAAACAGAAAGCTCTGCAGCTACAGAACTATGACACTACAAATCGTATCCTCTTAACTTCGTCTAAATAGGTGATGAATCGAGGAATCTTTGGGTGCCTCCTTACCTCCATACCTAACCATTTTAAATCCTGGAGGCAAGGTAGCTCCCAGGGACTCATCACTTCAAAGATACTTCATGAAGATATTTTGAGGCAAGACGTTCCATTTAAGAAATTTTATAAATAGAGAATAAAAAATAGTTGATTATTAGGTAATTACCGTAAAGGATACCACACTCTCCTGGATCCCAGGGTGCAACCGGGTCTGAGGTTGGCCTATCCTCACAATGTAATTTGCAGAAAATAAATTATGGTCCAGGCAGTCAAAGTGAATCCAAAGTGAAACAGATGAAAAGCAATGTTTTGGCCCACAACAGGGCTTGACAAAGGCCCTATTGTGGGCTGAAATGTTGCTTTTCATCTGCTCCAATAAACCTGCTCACATTGGATTTACCTTGAGTGCCTGGACCATCATTAATTTTCTGCAAAATAGCATTAAATTAAGGACACAATGTCGCTGTCATTTCAGCGACAATGTAAGCTCACGTTTTGGGTGCGTAGTAACGTCGCCAGATACTAGCATGTACCACGGTAGCTTTTCCTCTCCACCATGTGTTGGTTTAAAAAGCTGTAATCAAAACTGTATTCCATTGCTAAGCAATGAACATTGAGTTGGAAACAATGGTATAATTGTGTAAAGATAAATTCTCAGAATAACTATGCCCATGTTAACTTTCAAAAGTTTTTTATTTTATTTTTTAATTTTTTTAAGATCTGTAATTGATGCACAACAATACATTTTGGATATATTTAATTGTGGTCAAGTTTTTTGGAAATAGAGATTAAAGTACATATAAAGTAATAGAGTAAGTGGTGGTAATGGATCGACTCGAGGTGTGACAAATGCAGATAAAACGTGTAGGCCTAAAAAATACCCATCTTGACAAAGTGAAGTTGATAAGTGGGACGTAGAAAGGGTGGGGAACCAGTGAGTCTGCATGCTGCAGGGGAAGGGAAACGTGTAAATGTCCTCTGACCTCTCCCAAACTTACAGGGTAATTAGCCTTAACACGTGCATGAAAAAAATAAATCCATACAAAATGAGCAGTTACTGTGATAATGTTTAGAATATTATAAAAACTACAAACAATATTAAAACAAATATTCCTACCTTGTCTGTATCCGATTCATAGGTAACAACAGACACTTCATCATCAGTAATGTGGCCAAGCTAAAAAAGATCATAACCACTTGTTTAATTCTGCTAAACACGATTCATAAGTTAACAGTCTCATTAGGCGGTTGTTTAATTTTACATTCAACAGTTGTCTAAAAGAATGCATCCACTCTATATATCTCTGAATGCAAGTACCCATATACTATGTCTGCCTTCCCTTTGCACAGAACCGGTAATGGGGTGATCAGTTAGCTGATGGCATTAGCAATATGGCTAGTATTAGCTTATAAAGTGGTTCAGCTTATCAGATCTGATAAGTAGATTAGCTGATAGAGGCTGTATATCATGTCTAGACGGGGTTTGTGGAACAAAGTCAGACATCAGTATTGAGTCTCAATGATTTGGAGACTATTTCTGGTCTGGAAGGAGCAGTGCGATTGGTGAAGACTATTCCTGGTCTATGAGGAGTTCAATGCTGCTTCCAGTTTCAGCCCATTAATTGCTCTCATCACAGTTTTATTTTATTTTTTTAACTTTCATTTATTGAATATACGATGCATAAAAATACAGAGCCTGTTTAATGATGAAAAACATACCTACATTTAAACTCACATATTTATAGTCTAATTATGACACCATTTCAAAGTAAACCACAAGTCCCTTCTACTCAGCTAGAGCATCATTGGGGTATTCTGTGGTAGGCTGTGGGTGCAGGCTTGTAATGTCCTGGGTTGAAAGGTTGAACAGCAGAACACATTAGGGTGTGCAACTTCTCTTAGGGTGTTATATAGAGCTGGTTTTGGGAGGAGGTTAAAAATGACCCTGGGGCTGCAGTCCCTGTTTTTTTGGTAATCTCTGCCACTGAATTCTCAGTGTAGCCCTATATAAACCAAGTAGATTATCTATGTGTGAGTGGAGAGACTATATCTTTAAAGACTCTTTAACAACACCTAAGCATTTGCTAACAAATCTGCTACCACACTGTATAGAAGAATATAATATTAAAACAATAATTGTGCCATGGAAGGTATACTCTGATGTAGCTGGTTTTATTACTTATGGTTATTGACATAAAATAGATTTGTATTTCCTAGCACCTCTCCCAGTTCATCAGCTTCCATATCGTTTTCACCCGAAATCCAAGACATTCTGAGTGATGTTATCCACCAGGTCCACGAACAGATTGCAAGCTCTTTAATCTAAAAATAGAAAGGAGTGCTGTAACAGACAGACATGCTGCACACAGACAGCCCTACAGCTGTTGAAGAACACCTATAATGCTTTAGCCAAACTACAGGTTGAGTTATAAATTCTACAAAGACTGCTGGGTTATCTGTTGGCTAACCGTAGCTGGATTAAGAAGAATCAAACGTCTCCATTATCTTGATGGCAGCTGATGTGCTGCTCTGGGTGCTGTGTAATACAATCATGTATTCCTAACTTTAGAGTAGAGTATTTCGATTTAGCTTGTCAAGCCCTCCTAAACAAAATTAGAATATACTTGCCTTATAACCCCAGTGTGCAGATCACCCTGCAAATGCCACTCCTTCCATGGATAATATCATTACACATAGGTAAGCATTTAGGGGGCTAGTGCGCATGCAAAGCAATTGACTTAATGCATCTCTATTGGGAGAGTTTGACACCTTCATGCTGAGCACAAAGACATGGAACGTCTGTCCTGCAAAGATTGAAGTAACACACCAGGAAGCTCCTCTAGTGGCTGTCTATGTGCCAACCAATAGAGGTGGCATACACCAGCAATGTAAACACTGCCTTTTCTCTAAAAATGCAACGCTTGCATTGCTGAGACTGCAGAGACAGTCTCTTCATCCCAGAACCACTATATTAAGCTGTTGTGATTCTGGTGCTTAGATTGTCCCTTTAATGAAGAAGTGCATGTACAGCCACTAGAAACGTGTTTATGGAAAATGTTAAAATTGCAATTTCTCAGAAAATGTATTGTTTTACGTTGCCGGACAAAAGGTGTGGCATTTGTGCATCCTGACCACTGCATTAGAGGGACATGCATCACTTGACAATTATTTTTTTAAACCAGCCAATGACCACTTTTAAACAAATACACAAACCAAAATAAAGCAAGGAAAACTTTGAAAAGTATGTAATAAACGTCTACAAACAAACTATAAAATGTGGTCAGAATGCATTGTGGGGCACGCCTCGCAGCTAGAAGAGTTTCTTGAGCCTCACCCCCTCTGTCTTACACACCCTTCTCAGTTTTATACCAGTCAACTAATGACAGAAACACGGCATCATTGTGCAGAAACAAAAGAGAAAAAAATGACACCGTTGTCTGCTCTGCATTAATCACCCCGTTCAGAATCCTTCTCTTCTCAAAATTAGGATGTTAAAGAGATCTTCCAACTGCACATGTGTACATCTGTCAGTCATGCCCTGTGCATTTTTCCAGCATTCCTAGGGATAGCGCACTGATTGGTTAGAATAGATTAATGCCCCTATGGAGTGGGTGTAGAAGCCATGAGAAAGAAGAAGCATGTAAATATTAAAAAACAAAACAAAAATCTTTATCTGCTTTTTACTGCCTGCAGAGTGAGACAACTGTCTTGTTAAAGATAAAGCGTTTGAATGAGACAACTGTTGCAAGGCGATGCGCGTCCCTTTGTTTAGAGTGTACCTTTTTTCGGATAGCAACCAATATTGTTATGTATATAGTGTTATTATTCGACTGTAAAATAAACGCAGCGACCCATTCTTCGAATGTAATACAATGAATACTAACATTAAACACTTTAAAGGGGGGGGGTCTCCGTTGTACTGTAATAACCACTGCGTATCTATAATAATTGCAGTTTCACTGAGTATCTATAATAGTTGCAGTTTCACTGAGTTTCTATAATAATTGCATGCGGACCCACATTTGGATTCTGAACCAGGGGATGAGACCCACTCACCTATATTCTAAATTATGATTGAACACAACAAAAACCCAGGCAATACATAGAATAAATGAGATTTTAATGCACTCCAGCAGCATACACTTTGCATTATTGATCCCCAATCCCCATGTGATCAGTGATCACCTTAATGTGGATGCACTCACACTTCCTATTATGATTAAATTAGCTGCCTGTCTCCCTGCCACACTCACCCTGTGCACCCCAACATCAAGCAGTACCCCTCTCCTGCTCAGGCCCGATCAGCTGAGGCTCTCAGAGATCCCAAGCGAGTCCCTAGCAACCAAGGCAGCTAACAACCAGCAGCAACCCGGAGCCATTATCCTGAACACAGCCACAGGAAGCACCATTGCGGACATCTTTGTTATGGGCAAAAAAATTATAATAATAATAATCATGCATAAATCTCTGGTGGGGGTGATGAGAGGGAGAGTGGATAACATTATCACAATTCGATTAATAAATTAATTAAATGTCATGATTAATTACCCCAATATCTATATGGTGCCCAGTTTGCATTCAGTTGATGCTAATTAATTTTAAAGTAGTGAAGCACTAGTTTAAAGAGGGGTGTGGGGGGATGAGAATGCTAAATTGTTGAATTCAGCGTCCTCAGCTGTCAATAGTCAATCCCCCCCACATAACATGGTGTTTCCCTCATTAAAGATGGCGGTTCCCACTTCTGCAGAGTCTATTCTCTGCTAGCTTTGCGCATGATCTGGTGAGGTTTGTCTTTCTGTGATTCTGGGAGGTCTTTTCTTACGTGTTCGATATTAATATTCCCACCAAATAAAATGGTGTCTTTTTGTAGATGAGAATAGTTTCCCTTATTAAACATGGCGGCTCCTTCCCAAAGGTTTAAAGCGTGCTTTGGAGAGGGGTGAGTGAGAGCTGGAGTCTGCCAGGCAGTCATGGAAGATGTGGACTTTGTGCAGTGATAGTTACTAAAGCCACAATTCGGTGTTCCCATAACAGCTTCTGGTACTTACTTTTTACTAGTTATTAAATAACCCTGGCACTTACCTGAACTAGTTATTAAATGGTCCTCGCACTTACCTGAACTAGTTATTAAATGACCCTGGCACTTACCTGAACTAGTTATTAAAGATCCTGGCACTTACCTGTACTAGTTATTAAATGGTCCTGACACTTACCTGAACTAGTTATTAAATGACCCTGGCACTTACCTGTACTAGTTATTAAATGGTCCTGGCACTTACCTTTAATAGTTATTAAATGGTCCTGGCACTTACCTGTACTAGTTATTAAATGGTCCTGGCACTTACCTTTACTAGTTATTAAATAACCCTGGCACTTACCTGAACTAGTTATTAAATGGTCCTCGCACTTACCTGAACTAGTTATTAAATGTCCTGGCACTTACCTGAACTAGTTATTAAATGATCCTGGCACTTACCTGTACTAGTTATTAAATGGTCCTGACACTTACCTGAACTAGTTATTAAATGACCCTGGCACTTACCTGTACTAGTTATTAAATGGTCCTGGCACTTACCTTTAATAGTTATTAAATGGTCCTGGCACTTACCTGTACTAGTTATTAAATGGTCCTGGCACTTACCTTTAATAGTTATTAAATAACCCTGGCACTTACCTGTACTAGTTATTAAAAGATCCTGGCACTTACCTGTACTAGTTAATAAATGGTCCTGGTACTTACCTGGACTAGTTATTAAATGGTCCTGGCACTTACCTTTAGTTATTAAATGGTCCTGGCACTTACCTGTACTAGTTATTAAAAGATCCTGGCACTTACCTGTACTAGTTAATAAATGGTCCTGGTACTTACCTGTACTAGTTATTAAATGGTCCTGGCACTTACCTGAACTAGGTATTACATGGTTATGATACTTACCTGCACTAGGTATTAAATTATATAGTCACTTACCTTTACTATTTATTAAATGATTCAGACCCTTACCTGTACAAGCTACATTAAATGATCATAACACTCACTTGTATTAGTAAATAGTAAATGAACATGGCACTAACCTGTACTAGATGTTAAATGATCCTGGCACTCACAAGGACCAGATATTTAATTACCTGGCATTCGTGTATATTCTATATTAAATAGTCTTGGCACTCACTTTGGTCCTGCAATCACCTATACTATGTATTAAATGCACTTGGCACTCACCTATACTATGTATTAAATGGTCCTGGCACTCACCTGTACTATTATTAAATGGTCCTAGCACTCACCTATACTATGTATTAAATGGTCCTGGCACTCACCTATACTATGTATTAAATGGTCCTGGCACTCACCTGTACTATGTATTAAAGAGTCCTGGCACTCACCTGTACTATGTATTAAATGGTCCTAGCACTCACCTGTACTATGTATTAAATGGTCCTGGCACTCACCTGTACTATTATTAAATGGTCCTGGCACTCACCTATACTATGTATTAAATGGTCCTAGCACTCACCTATACTATGTATGAAATGGTCCTGGCACTCACCTATACTATGTATGAAATGGTCCTGGCACTCACCTATACTATGTATGAAATGGTCCTGGCACTCACCTATACTATGTATTAAATGGTCCTGGCACTCACCTGTACTATGTATTAAAGAGTCCTAGCACGCACCTGTACTATGTATTAAATGGTCCTGGCACTCACCTATACTATGTATTAAATGGTCCTGGCACTCACCTGTACTATGTATTAAATGGTCCTGGCACTCACCTGTACTATGTATTAAATGGTCCTGGCACTCACCTGTACTATGTATTAAAGAGTCCTAGCACGCACCTGTACTATGTATTAAAGAGTCCTAGCACGCACCTGTACTATGTATTAGATGCATCTGGCACTCACCTGTGCTATATATTAAATGGTGCTGGCACTTACCTGTACTATGTATAAAACTTATGCTAGATGATAAGATTTTCTCGAGCTTATCTATAACAGGTATTAAATGGTTCTGTCACTTGCCTGTATGTGGAGTCAAATTTTTTTTTCAAGCACTTTAAAAACCTACAGCATGACACAGTTGTCCGTCCATCTTTGGTGGCAGTGATAGGCTGAAAGTTCTGTGGGCTGTGGGAGGTCCACATCGGCATTGGACAAGCTACCATAGATTTTAAATCACTCTATAGAAACCTACAGCATTTCACTTCTGCTGCGGCCCAGCTTATGTAGAATTGTCTGTCCATCTCTAAGTGACTGTGATAGGCTGAAGGTTCTGTGGCCAATGAGAGGAGCACTTCGGTGCCAAGTGCAAGGAGAAGCCTTGTTTGATTCAAACTGGCGGGACATTGCTGTAACAGAACTGTCTGTATATGGATTACAATTATTTTCAGTCAACGTAACAATTGGTGGCAAGCGACGGGATGGTTCTCACAGCCCAGAAGGTCAGCTACACAACTCAGACTGATGGAAGTACTTTATGAGAGACTGAAACGTGCCACTCTCAAGGATATATTGGAACACAGAGGACGACCAGCAAGCAACTTGAGAAAAAGAGAGATTATTGCACAGCTGGTCGAGATGGACGGAGCGCAAGGAGCTAACGTGCCCAGCATTATGGACCTGACACCCGAGGAAATAAGCTTCCACCGGGCAGTCCAGATCAGGCTGGCACACTTTGGCCCCAACCCTACACCGGATATTATTGAGCAGGTCCAAGCAGCCGTGATAGCAAACCAGGCACTCCAGCAAAGAGGTGCTGCAGCAGCAGAGGTACCTAACAACCATGGTAAGAGAAAAGAACACTTTGCTGCATTTAAAAACTTTGTGGAAGCTGAGGGGGAGATCGATGAGTATCTGGTAAACTTTGAAAGACAGTGTGCCCTACACCAGGTACCCGCAGAAGAGTGGGTCACTATTCTCTCTGGGAAACTATCCGGCCGGGCAAGCGAAGCCTTCCGAGCCATCCCAGATGAGGAGATTACCAGCTACCCAGCCGTGAAAGAAGCTCTCTTAGCCAGGTATGCTGTCACCCCAGAGGCGTACCGGCGGAGGTTCTGGGACATTAACAAATTGAGTGGGGATTCATATACCGAGTGGGCATGCCGTATCAACCGCACGGCCGCCCACTGGGTTGCTGGATGCCAGGCGATATCCGGAGAGGAGGTTCTGCAGCTGTTCATGCTGGAACATTTCTATGAAAGACTGTCTGCAGGGGTAAGAGAATGGGTCCGGGACAGAAAGCCGCTGACGAATACTCTGATGCCCGCAAGCTGGATAACCCGGTGCCCAAAGCTGCCCCTCGCCCGGGGTACATGCCAGTGCCCGCATCCCCGGCACCGGTATACCGACCTCAAGCACCCCCTCCAGCAAGCCAACAACCACCGAGGTACAATCCACAAAATTTCTTCCAGCACATAAAATGCCATGGTTGTCACCAGATGGGACATCGCAAGGTGGACTGTCCCCTAGCTCCAGCCAGTCAGTCCCAGTCCTGGAGGGGACCAGCATGGGGGGGAACCCCTTCCAGCAGTAACGGCTGCCCATTGTGTTGAGGAGGAAGAGTGCATGAGGCTGACCCAGTGCAAGCAGCTAGCCCAGATAACCGGCAACAGCATTGCCAGACGGTCAAGGTGAATGGCAAAGCAGCAACCGGATTGAGAGACACCGGTGCTACTATGACTCTGTTGCAGAAGGACCTTGTCCCAGAGAATCAGCACACTGGGTACACCGTGTCCGTACGGGTAGCCGGAGGTACCGTTTTTAGGCTACCTGTGGCCCGGGTTCAGCTGGACTGGGGGGTGGCCTCTAGACATGTTCATGTGGGGGTTATGAAAGACTTGCCTGCAGACGTCTTATTGGGGAATGATTTGGCCCCCCTTGTGTCCGCTTATGCCCCGACGGGCCACGCTGAAGCCCACCCTGTGACCACCCGTGCCCAGACCCGTGCTGCCGGAGCCGACTCACCTGCTGCTGAGACCCAGGTAAGACTCTCTCCCCCGACAGGTACTGTGGGCCCCCTTAGGTTGGGATACCCCCTAGACCTTTGGGAGGGAAACCCGGGAGGACCCGACTTTATCCATGTATAGGGCTAAGGCAGATTCCGGGGAAGAGGAGGTAGACGGGGAGCGCTATGAGTGGGTGGGGGATAGACTGTATAGGGTCCCTAAGCCGTCCCAGAAAAGTAAAGCCCATTCGCAGAAACGTCAGCTGGTGGTGCCCCAGAAATACCGGCTGGAGATTCTGCGAATTGGGCATGATGTGCCATTAGCCAGACATCTAGGGTCCCGTCGCACAGGACATAGGATTACTCAGAACTTCTTCTGGCCACATTTTAACCAGGCTGTGCGACAGTATTGTAGGATGTGTGACACATGTCAACGGGTAGGAAAGCGGGGGGACCACGCAAAAGCTAGGCTTATGTCAATGCCTATCATTGGGGAGCCCTTTTCCCGCATAGCTGTCGACATTGTGGGTCCACTGGCCAGGGCTAGTCCATCCGGAAAGAAATATATTCTCACCGTGGTGGACTATGCCACCCGTTATCCAGAGGCAGTAGTGCTGTCTAATATAGAGGCAGAGACAGTAGCTGATGCCCTGGTTAAGATTTTTACCCGGGTTGGGTTCCCTAAAGAGATTCTCTCCGACCCAATTTACTGCTGTGCTCACCCAGCAGCTGTGGAAGGTGTGCAGCATTAAACCCCTGCTTAGTTCCCCTTACTACCCACAGACGATCTCTGTGAGTGCTTTAACGGGACCCTCAAGCAGATGCTGAGGACCTTTACTGACGCTTGCAGAGACTGTTAGCGATTCCTGCCTCATCTGTTACTTGCGTACAGAGAGATGCCCCAGGAATCTACTGGGTTCTCCCTCTTTGAGTTACTCTATGGGAGAAGGGTCTGTGGACCCCTAGATCTCATTAGAGGGCACTGGGAGGGAGAGACAGAGCAGGAAGGGACCCCCATCGTGCCATGTGTTCTGGAACTCAGGGACTGCATGAATAAACTGCCTCTGATGGTAAGAGAGAATCTCCAGACAGCCCAGGGGAGACAGAAGAGGTGGTATGATCGGGGTGCCCGGCAGCAGATCTTCCAGGTTGGGCAGAAGGTTTTAGTGCTCAAACCTGTGAAGACAGACAAGATGCAAGCATCTTGGCAGGGCCTGTACAAGGTAGTAGCCCAGGTATGTGACACTACCTATGTCGTTGCCAGCTGTGCAGATGAAAGGATCCAGCGATCCTTTCATGTGAACATGCTGAAAGAGTATCAGGAGAGACAGGAGGATGTCGCTGCAGTGTGTGCCCCAGCTGCAGAATACTCAGAGGGGTTACCTCTACCTGACTTACTGGAAAGGGACCCCCAGACTGACTTGACGACCCTTGTACGGCTAGGGGACGGGTTAAGCCATGCGGAAAAGGAACAGGCTCAGAGGCTGCTGTGGGAGAAACAGGCGACTTTCTCCCAAGAGCCGGGCTATACAACCCTGGCTGTACATAAGGTAGAGACTCTTGGACAGACTCCCCTGCGACAGCCCCTTTACCGTACCCCTGAAGCAGTCCGAGAAGGAATGCAGAAGGAGATGACCCAGCTAGGGGTCATTGAGCCCTCCAATCGTCCTTGGGCCTTCCTTGTGGTCCTGGTGCCCAAGAAAGATTGGACTACCTGGTTCTGTGTGGACTACAGATGACTCAATGAGAAGACCACCACTGATGCCTACCCGATGCCCCGGGTATATGAATTACTAGATCGGATCGCTAGGGGGCGCTATCTGACTACCATAGACCTGTGTAAGGGCTATTGGAAGATTCCCCTGGCCGAGGATGCTATCCCCAAGTCTTCCTCCATCACCCCGTTTGGCTTTGCCAATTTAGGGTCATGCCATTCGGGATGAAGAATGCCCCGGCTACCTTTCAGCCTATGGTGGATAGACTACTCAATGGCTTCCAGGAATTTACTTGTGCATATCTGGACGACAGTGGGTCTTGGGAGGAGCATTTGATACACATAGGGGTAGTTCTGGACAAGATTTGGGCCGCTGCCCTGACCTTGAAGCCAGACAAGTGCCATCTAGGCATGAATGAAGTGCAATACCTGGGTCACAGAGTGGGGTATCGAAACCAGAGACCAGAGCCAGCCAAGGTAGAGGCAGTGGCTAACTGTCCCACACATATCACTATGACCCAGGTACTAGCCTTCTTGAGGACGGCAGGGTATTATAGACGTTTTGTCCCTGATTACAGCGCCATAGCTAAGCCCCTGACTAAGAAAAACTTACCTAAGCAGGTCCTGTGGTCTCCAGCTTGTGAAGCCGCGTTCCAGGCACTAAAGCAGTCTTGGCTGCCCCAGTCCCTAACAAACGTTTTCTTGTTCATACAGATGCTTCCATGTATGGCCTGGGGGCTGTGCTGAGCCAAGTCGGGGAGGATGGAGGAGAGCACCCTGTCGCATACTTAAGCAGGAAACTACTACCCAGGGAAGTGAGCTATGCAGCAGTGGCGAAAGAGTGTCTAGCCCTGGTCTGGGCACTGAAAATGTTAACCCCTTATCTGTACGGGTCTGGCTTAACTGGGTCTCAGGAGACAATGGCAGGTTGCTACGGTGGAGTCAGGCCCTGCAACCTTACAATTTTACTATCAGTTATAGACCTGGTAAACAGAATGGCAATGCTGATGGGTTGTCCCGGCAAACAGACATCACTCCGGCACCCGAGTTCCGGACATCCCTAAGTTGACCCGAGAAGGGTCAAGCCGGGTCTGGCGGAGTGTCCCACAAGGAGGGAGATGTGCGACAGAACTGTCTGTATATGGATTACAATTATTTTCCCTCCATTCGTCTGTTCGGTTTATTTCGCTGCCTGTACAGTCCCTATGTGTTCCCCTGTTAAACTACCAAAAGCCGCACGAAGGTGCGAACACCGGGAAGCTGGCGTGTACCTTCAATTGATCTCCCTGCAGCTAGCGTGGGCCGTCAATTAACCACCCAGTAGCTGCGGTTAACCGCAGTTTAATTGACAGTTCCCGGGTGGTCGCGGTTACACCTAGCTGCCACACGATGGCGGTGTTCTACAGTCTCCGGCACAACCAGCAGTGCTCAGCCCGGACTTAGTGGGCTGAAAGCGGACACTTTCACTCACCAAACACTGCTGAACCTCCAGCCTTCCTTGATTTCCTCGCCAGTTATTCAACCGAACGCCGGCTTTCAGGACTTTGTATTATATGAATGAGGGTACCCAGATAGCATGCTATGGAGCCTGTTTGTGTAATTAAAGACTTTGGCTCCATGGCAATTAAACTGTATTTGTGAGGTCTGAGCACTATTCTGTATTAATGTGCGCTCAGACCTGAGCTATCTGGGGATATGTTACATGTGTATAATTGTTGCATTATTGGTCACATCGTATATTTTATTGCCTTTTTCTGTATCATTGTCTCCACGTGTGTAATGGCGATTTGCCTCTGTCCTGGGAGATAATTGGGTTATTTCCCAATTATCTCTCGGACAGAGAGGGAGGAGTTGTGGTGCATTGTGGGGATATTTTGTATCTGTGTGTCAGAATTTGCTACGTGTCTGTCCCTTGTAACAGTCTCCCAGCTGGTCCTTTTAGGGGAGTGTCCACCAGGAGGGGGACCTGCATAAATACTGGGCAGGTAGCCCTCAATAAACCAGAATCCTGTTTTACCCTCAATACGGAGCTTGGTCTCGTAATTGGGGGGATTTACTGTACGCGGTTAAAGACTGATTGCTGGGAATGTAAGCCGCTTGGATGCTGTGTCTGCTCGTCTGTTAGCAGCTATTCGTGGGATTACCGTTCGGGAGTTTGGAGCATTCCCCTGGGTCCAGTTCGGGAGTTTGGGGTCTTACAGTAGCTGTGCCTGTACCTCCGCAAAAGGGAAGCGCTACTAAACGGTGGTTTAACCCCTTTAGGCCGGGAGAGCCATAAGAATTGCCCACAGACCCTTTGCCTCATAATTGCTTCAATGAGCTGTACTGGCAATGACCTCTATTGGTATTAAAAAGATACTTGTACTGTCCTATGTTAGCAATACAATATTTGCTGTACTATTCTTGGTGAACTTTTAAGGCTCTGGTATTTTTCAGATGATGGTTTTAAAAAAACAAAACCAAAACCTACTCTCCTCTGCTGGAATTATAGTCTGTTATTTGGGGATGGGGTACTGTTTTAAGATCCTATGTTTGGTTTAAAAGTGGTACCAGTATTTTACAGTGGCTCTATTGTTGGCAAGGTTCTTGCATTTTTAAAACTTTTCCTTCCCTTTACCTCACCTCCTCCAAGCTGACTTGTCTGTTTAGAATTAGATGCAGGTAATCAGGGGAGAAAGTCTACTAAACTAACAATTTATTAGATATAGATGTATTTCTTCTTCTTTTTTTTTTTTTTTTGCATATTTACTTTGTGGGTATATGGGGGGGGGAAACGGCTTGCAAAAGCTGCAGAGTTTTTTCTGCAGCCTTTGAATGCCCTCCCCTCTTTCCCTCAACACATGCTTTTAATTTGTGCATTGAATACAGCATTCAGAGCCAGCTAAAGTTCTTTGTCTGGAGTGTCCCTTGAAGTTCCCACTCCTTGACCATACGTGGCTTTACCTGGCAGGAGGAGTTGTTGATACCCCCCAGCTGTCCCATGTCCAACAGGACGATCCCAATTGAAGGGACTTGTTCATCCGTTCCTGGTTGTTTCCTGGTGACCCGCATTTAGGCACACCAGTGCTAATTTTGGCCGCAAATTTCCATTTAGTTTTAGTCATAGTCTTTTTGACCAAAAAGACGTTTTAGTCATCTGAATTGTTTTAGTCGACTAAATCTCCTGTATATTTTAGTCGACATGACTAAAACCTACTAGGTTTAGTTAAAGCCTCAATCTGTCTTTTTTGTCCCTTCCCCAGTCACTCTGGGTCTCTTTGTGTCACTCCAGTCCCTCTAGGTATCTCTCTTCCAAGCCCTGGTCTGTCTCTTTTGCCGCTTCCATAGCCTCTCTGTGCAGTGTTAATTTTGTCGGGAAATTTCAATTTAGTTAGAGTCATAGTCTTTTGACTAAATCGCCATTTGACTAAAATTGTTAGTCATCAAAATTAACACTGAGGCACACCAGGAAACAATCCCTATAACCGCAGCAGAATGTGAGCTTATTATTAGAGGTACTTGTATTGTGTTGAAGGCAGTAGGACACATCTCTTCAGCAACACTCTCTGCATGGTTTGCCCTAAGTGGCGCCAGCCAGGGAGGCAGTTAGGCTGGCTTAAATTCACGCCAGGCGAACATGCTCCTTCTTTGGGCAGTACGTTCCCATTTACAGGCAAGATCTCCCATTTTGGTCAATACTAGCATACCACCTGTCCAATGTTTGGATTTATGCTACTTTCACTGAGGGATCTATGGAAGGTTCTGTGAGACCACAGGATCTTGAAATAGATGATCCCAAACTTGTGCAATAGACGCTTATGGCACCATACTGCACATCTCCCAATATCATGCCTGTTGCCATCGGTTGTCACTTTTGATGGAAAATTGCAGCAGAACCACCTCCACTTGCCAAAGAAGGTCCATTACAGGAGACATTGTAGTCCTTCATTTGTCCTGTGTATATAGTTTGTTTGCTTTAGAATTGTGAAGAAACCCGAACACCATCATAAAGGTTTGCGTTTTTTATTTTCAGAAAGAATCTATATTTATGAAAACTTTGAAAAATGCCAGAAGTACTACGAGTGGTTGCACAAGTTCCATAGCTAAATGAGTTATGTTTTTGAAAGCTGATATCATATTTTTATTTTTTATACAGAAACCCTAATGGATACCTTCTGTTCCGACCTGCTCCCCCACATTTGTGACCTACTACTTAACAGAAGGCATCTTGTGTCAGATGATACCATCTTTCAGAAATTACTGGATTGGTTCAAGGCTTTGTCATCATCAGGTAATCCTCGTGAATGTGAGCCTTCATAAAAAAAAGTTGGGCATTCTATCTCGGTGGTCCTTTTCACGTAGTTTGTCATGAAGGGCTTTAAGGGAATCATCTGTGCTGAAAAAAATTTAATTTTTTTTTTCCTTTTTAAGTTTAGCTCTTGTTAGTTTTTTTTTTTTCCCCAAACCATTTATTTTTTATTTTTTATAATTCTTTATTTTTGGTATGCAAGTAGTTACAACAGTGCCTGTGTCGCCACAACAGCATTGACAGGCTCAGTTTTCATAGACATATGATGGCAGTATTGTGGCAAGGTGGACATGCATACAGTTTTTTTATTTTAATTTTATTTTTTTAAGTGGAACGATACAGCAAGCAAGCTATTAACAATATGGTCTAAGCTAAGTTAGTGTGACTAGCTTGAGGCCTCGTGGTGAGATCGACCGGCTTGTATGCTTATGAGAAAATAATACTGTACAATTCGCTTGTCGTGTCCTAAAGCGTACAACTTATGGCTAAAAAGACAGGCTAGGCACATGCTGGTTAGACATAGTGAGTTAAGTAGTGATTATAGTGAGTGTCATCGCTGTATGTTATATGAAAATCTCAAGCTATGAAACAGCGTTTTTGTTAAGGTAGACACATATAGAGCATTGCGAATTGCGCCTAGGGTGTAAAGCAGGCTAGCTGTTTAAATGTATGCGCATTTAAAACAAGGAAAAAAGCACAACAAGCTCATTTTTACATTAGAAACATCAGGCTTGAACAGGGTAGTAAACATAGGTTGTGCTGGCTGACTATGTGAGTGAAAAGTATAAGATGCCGTGTGGAGATAGAAGGTAGGTGGTCAGTTGCCTGTTTTAAGTTCCCTTTCATGAGATCAGTTCACCCAATGCCTGCTGATGGCAGGGTACATTCCCCGAAAAGCGTGCTCTGAGGGGAGCTGTATGTGTGGGCTTCCAGTTTGGCTTTCCCACTCTTGTGTGTTAAGGGGCCAGTGCATGCGCCCGGGTAGCATGAGTCTCTGGGCCTCAGCCCAGTTTCGGTCGTGTTCCACAGGGATTTTGTTTGCGTGTCGGCGTGGCATGCGGCTATGTCCCTGTGGTGCTGTCTGGCGTCTCGCTCTGTTGAGAGTGGGAGCGGGTACATGCGCCCTCGTGGTGAGGCTCTGCCACCCACCTTGTCGACTTTCGGCGCCTGTTAGCCGCTTGGAAGGTCTGAGGTGGGAGTCCATAGTGGCGCCTACGGGTAATAGGTCGAATCCACAAGGCCACTGTGTGGGCCGCTCGTTGGTAGGGTATTCCCCTGCCACATAGTGTCATACAGAAGCTTAGGCAAAGCCGGTCAAGTGCTTCCAGGGAATGAAAGGGTAGGTAATTGCCCGCCTTCTTCTTCCTTGTACCATGCTGGGCGGCCATCTTGGATGTGCCTCAGTTGTTTCCTGCACTAGCAGGCTGTGTGGTAGAGATTACTCGTTTGCTGTCTTGGTCCGCTTGTCTAATGGGGACCGGGATGTCCCCCGCCCGGTCCAGAGGGGGGAGGTAGGTAGTCAGCAGAGTTTCCCAGGGAGTCTGGTGTCGGAGAGAGCGGCTGCCTCTCCCCGGCTTCCACTCCAGAAGGCTGCAGTCGGCCTTTTCTTTTGTTTGGCTCTGGAAATGTATCACCCGATACCAGAGTGCATCCCCGACGTGGGTGGTGCCCCCTGTCTGGTCTTTGGGCTTCGTTTTTGCCGTTTGTGCCAATTTTGTTGCCCGCCCGACCGGAGCTCCTGTCCCCCACGTCCGTGCAGCTTGGCGGTCAGACTCCGCCCCCTCCCCAAACCATTTAAAAAAAAAAAAAAAATTGTTGTTAGTGAACAATCAGATATGTTTTTTTATTTACTACACATATTGTCCCTTCACCGTCCCCTATTTGGTTCTGGTACAATCACTGCTATTGAATAATGTGCAGTGGAAATTAGTTGCCGTTCTGCATATCCTTTTATTTGCTGCTCTGCTAATATTATTTTTGTTTTTGTTTTTTTACAGTTGATGTTTATGAATTTATGTCTGAGAATGTTTGTGTAGTAGACATGCTTTATGACATCCTAGATGTGCCAGATGAGGAGTCCGATCTCTATGCATTTGCCATGAGACTATCTGGAATTATAGCAGCACATGAAGATGGCTTTCCACTTGTTTTGGTGAGTAAATGTTGGTTTGTAAGGGGATCTTCTGAAGGCATTTTCCTCACATTCACAATTTGTTAAATGACTGGTCTTGGTTCAGAGAGACCTCCGTGGTTGTGATATCCTCTGTGTTTGACATCACACATTAACCTACTTGTGTAGTATTTTTTTTTTCTTGCTCCGTGTGTTTGTTTGTGTGTTTTTAAAAAGGCTGCCTTATCTATTCTGAGCCTTTTTAATTTTAGTCAAAGAAACCCTGAAATATCATTACTTAATAATGCTGATCCGAGGGCCTGTAAATCTACATCTATCACCAAACTAATTTGCAGTCCCAACAAGCTCTTTAACAGATCAAAATTGACAGTTTGCCAATCTTTCTATTTATTTAGGATCTACTATGGAACAAAGTGCTTTAGGTTCAAAGCTCTTAAAGGACCACTATAGGCACCCAGACCACTTCAGCTTAATGAAGTGTTCTGGGTGCCAGGTCCAGCTAGGGTTAACCCTTTTTTCTATAAACATAGCAATTTCAGAGAAACTGCTATGTTTATATTAGGGTTAATCCAGCCTCTAGTGGCTGTCTCATTGACAGCCGCTAAAGGCGCTTGTGTGGTTCTCACTCTGAAAATCACAGTGAGAAGACTCAAGCGTCCATAGGAAAGAATTGATAATGCTTTCCTATGAGACTGGCTGAATGCGCGCGCAGCTCTTGCCGCGCATGCGCATTCAGCCGAGGAGGAGGAGAGCTCCCCGCCCGGTGCTGGAGAAAGAGGTAAGTTTAACCCTTTCCTTTCCATCCCGCCCGGCGGGAGGGGGACCCTGAGGGTGGGGGCACCCTCAGGGCACTATAGTGCCAGGAAAACGAGTGTTTTCCTGGCACTATAGTGGTCCTTTAACCCCTTAAGGACCAAACTTCTGGAATAAAAGGGAATCATGACATGTCACACATGTCATGTGTCCTTAAGAGGTTAATTTGTTCATCTACTGCTATATCTACTCTTGAGATGATCAATTTAGCTTAAACAGAATATGGGGCCCTCTAGAGGTATGTTTTAGAGCAGTATTTCCCAATTGGTGTTCTCCTTGTTTGTGAGTGTGTATATGTGTGTTTGTCTGTGTGTTAATTTGTTTGTGTATGTATGTTCGTAGCATACGTCCAGCAATCAAACACATATATGTGCATCCATCCCAGCAATCAATCACCAACACAACATGCAAACACAAACATTACATACAAAAAACCCTTGATTCAAATGTCAGATTTATATACACTCAGACACCCCCCCCACTCAAACACTAATACTACACACAAATGTGCATCCTCATTTAAAAACTAACACTACATCCAAGCACACCCCTGCACACAAATGCAAACATTACATACTAACACACCCCTGTATCAAAAATTAAATTGGGAAAAAATAATTGGGAACCCCTGTTTTAGAGAATACCATAGGATAACAAAGCAAAAGAGAGGAGCCCAAACTCTTTAAAGGGATTCTATAGTGCCAGGAAAACAGTTGTTTTCCTGGCACTATAGAATCCTACAGTGCCCTCCTCTCTTGCGCCCCCCCCCCCCTCCTGCGGCACTGAAGTTTTTAAAACCCACCCTTTCAGTCACTTACCTGAATCCAGCGCTGATGTCTTTCGGTGCTGGGTCGGGCACCGTCCACGCTCCTTAGCCGCCGACATCAGCTGAAGGGGGAGACCTAATGCCCATGCGTGGCAATAGCTGTGAAAAATCTTAAGCTGCAAGTCCTTCTGCAGAGTGCGAGGACGTCCAGCGTCGGATTCCCGGACCAAATGTGCGTTTCAATTCCAAAAGTCCCTCTAGTGGCAGTCTGGTAGACAGCCACTAGTGGTGAAGTTAACCCTCAGAGGTAATTATTGCAGTTTCTCAGAAACTGCAATAATTACTACTGTAGGGTTATGGGACATGGGACATTGGAACCAGACCACTTCAATGAGCTGAAGTAGTCGAGTGCCTACAATGTCCCTTTAATGCATTTTACTGGGGAATGTTGGATTGTAATGTATCATTTCCCTTAGACAGAGTCTGATTTAGGAGTGTAATTATTGTTTGTGTCTGTTGATTTGTCTGTTCACGTTTTGATATAAATATGCTGAACTTGATGGACACAAGTCCTTTGTTTTGCAGCCTATGTTTGCACTATGTAAACAAGTGTGACGATGAAATGATAGTTATGTTTTAGAATTATCACTTGTCTAATCACCTCTGGCAAGTAATTTTTGGCGAAAATCTGATATGCTTTTCAACCAGGGTCATTCTTTATTCCAGGGTTTATTAGAAGATTTCTATGGTTCATTTACCGTGTCCAATACAATGTGGGATCGTGTTGAAGTGAAACTGGCTTGGCTTAATGGTTTCCAGGATATGCTGGAGCACGAAATGTCGATAAGGTTTTTTTATACCAACAGTGCGTACAACGACCTGTGAAATAAGGCAAAGTAGCCATGATTAAAAGGTTTAAAAGAACAAAAATATGACATGGGACAATACTCTAAAGTAACCTAAAGTAATGTTTTTGATTAGGGTTCATGTTGTGGTAACTGTGAACTTTTTTTTTTTTCCGTTGTTGTAATTCTTTATTTGTTTTGCGCATGAAGAGGATGTCAGATGAAACATAGCAAGAAGATAAGTGAGAGTCTCGCAGGACTCGCAATACATTTGTTCAAACTATAAAATAAGTGTTTATATAAGTGTATTTTAACCCCTTAGGGACCGCGGACGTTCTAGGTACGTTCAACAAAAAAGGGTCCTTAAGGACCGCGGACGGCAAATATATATTACTTACCCAATCGCCGCCATTTACCCGCTGGCACTCTGTTTTGCTCCCGGTCTGTGGGGAGTGCATGACAGCCCAGACAGTCCACCCTCTGCAAATTAACCCTGTAACTTTCAATGACACCCTAAAACTTGTACATGGGGGGTACTGTTTTGTTCGGGAAACTTTGCTAAACACAAATATTAGTGTTTCAAAACAGTAAAACATATGAAAGCGATGATATTGTCAGTGAAAGCGAAGTTTTTTGCATTTTTCACACACAAACAGCACTTTCACTGATGATATCATTGTTGTGATATGTTTTACTGTTTTGAAACACTAATATTTGTGTTCAGCGAAGTCTCCCGAGTATAACCGTAACCCCCCCATGTACAGGTTTCATAGTGTTTTTGAAAGTTACAGGGTCAAACATAAGGCTGTTTTTTTCACATTGTAATTTGCCAGATTGGTTATGTTGCCTTTGAGAGTGTATGGTAGCCCAGGAATGAGAATAACCCCCATGATGGCATACCATTGCCAAAGAAGACAACACAAGGTATTGTAAATGTGGTATTTCCAGTCTATTTTAGTAGCCACTTAGTCACAAACACTGGCCAAAGTTAGCGTTCATAATTGTTTTTTACTTTTTATTTTTTTTATTCTTTATTTTTGTAGTGCGTAAGCTTAGTACAGTCGCGTGTGAGGTACCGCAAAGGCAATCCTCTAGCGCATTATAAACAGTTAAACATAGAGGTACATGGTTGCTCTACCACATTTTTATAAGGTTAAGTTATGTAATGAACAGTGTCGATTGTCGTTGCATAGGCACTCACATAACATAAAGTAACATTGCTTTGCTTTCTAAACATGAAATAAAATTGCTGTGTCAAGAGCTAGTTAAACATTAAGTAAGAAACCACTGGGGTTTGCTTTAAACAATATTAACTTCACATGAATATGTCAATGTGTGGCAAGGGGTCTTAATCTTCGTGGGGTGTGCAGTAGGGGTTAACATCCGGGCGCATAATTATTATGATGGCTAGGTGTGTTCCAGGCTGAGTTAAGAAAATAAAAGAAAAAGGACCCTTCAGATCTGTGTGAGCGTGGCCGTATTGAAATCTGGTCAGATAGAGAATTACCCGGAGTTGCAGGGCATGACTCTGGTAAGGCTGTGCAGTGTGTTTTTCAGCCAATGCCTAGTGTTGGGAAGTCCCATTTATTGCCGTTGTGAGTCCCTTCTTTGGAGCCCCCGGGCGCGGTGTCTTCCCGCCGGGAGTCAGCTCCAGTGGTACCTTGAGGGGTGTGCAGCCGCACAGACACTTGTTTTGCAGCATTGGCTGTAGGGATCCGAATCGTGCTGCGCTGGATATTGATAGTCTGGTCTGGTGAGGTCCCTGCATATGTCGCTTGTGTAATAGTCACAGGTAGGTGTGATAGCGAGTTGGAGCGTGCTCTTGCGAGGCCTGACTCCCTTTCCCGCCTTGAGGACCACTGAAACCTGCGTTGCTGGATGGGCGCTTTGGAGGCTTTAGGCATGGGCCTGTAATGGCTGCGTTGTACTGCTGGTCAGATCCATGTGGCCAGCATTGTTTCTGCTTGGTGGTAAGTAGCTCCTCGGCTGTGCAGTGCGTCCCAGAATCCTTTGCATAGCCAGTCGAGAGTCCCCTGTGAAGGTGTGGACGGCTTGTTGTGGGCACCCCGCTCGTGGTGTCTGTGCTGGAGGGTCATATTGGTAGTGCTTTGGTGGCCTGTTGCCCTTGAATGCCGTGGGGTGAACTAGTCTGTTTTTCATTTGCGTCTGTACTTCCAGTGGAGACCGGGATGTCCCCCACCAGTCCATAGGGGTGGGGGAGTAGGCTGCAGGAAAGTTGCTTGAGGGCCCCGGTGCCGAGGGGAGCTGCCGTCTCCCCCTGGTTCCAGCCCCAGTAGGCCGTATTCGGATCTCCGCTCTCCCGGCCCCAACAGGTTCCAGGGTTGTGTCTGTCGATTCAGCGGTGCACCCCCGACGTGGTGGTGCACCTGTAAAGGACCTTGGGCCATATAGCCCCCGCTTTTCTCCGTTTTCGGCCCGTCTGTCAGGAGCTCGTGTCAGGTACGTCTGTATGGCTCGGTGTCCAGGCTCCGTCCCTTTTTTGCATTTTTAACACACTGTAACGGAGAGGCAGTATAATCCACGATATCTCCGCTGGGTAACAGGAACAACAAGGATAATCCAGGGAATCAGCATACAATAATCCAGACAGCACTGTAGTAACCCTTCCTTCCCAAGAACTAGACGACACATAGGCTGGGAGTCAACTGAGGTCTTTTAATTCAGCTCCACAATTTATACAAGTCCCCATGCAAGGGGTTTCCTGAGTCCCCTCCCAGGGACATTCCCAAAGGGGACTACATGGGGAACTTACAAAGCAAGACATTTTTCCCATCAGGCACTGCTGCACGAGAGGGATCCTCCCACTGGAATATACCGTTAAGTGGATTATCCCTCCGTGCAGCAGAACCGACAATTCACATTAAAATACATAACTTTTCGAATACTTGACAGATTTAAACGAATGGACGTTCGGTAGATAGCTGGGGTCTGGGCGCATCATTCGTGAGATTACCGCTCAGATCCCAGCTAAAATAACCGAACGCCGCACGAAAAACACATTCATTACAAAACATATTAAAAGAACCGATTGCCTTCCAGGGAATAAAATACCGAACGGCCTGAAACTCCCGAACGTCCTGGAGGCTCAGCGGTGTTCGTGCCGTCGAGTAGCCGTTTTTAGTACCATGCGCTCGACGACCTAACACCGCTGAGGGAACAAAGGATCCAAGATGGCCGACCGCCGCATGGTCGGTAGTCGAACGACGGCCACCCAGGAGAGCCTCTAATTACCGATTGCCTCTAAGTGTGTGGGCTATAAAATGATATGTCGTTCGCTTCCCGAACGGCCCGCAAAGGTGCCATTCGTGAAACGAAAGGAATTAGCTATCTGCGGTCAGCAGATAGCCCAGGCAGGAGATACAGCATTAACATTGTATTACAGTATACGCTCTAACACACACAAGGAACCCCATACCGGCAACCCTTAAAGCGACAGTACAAAAATAATGTCCAAGTGGCTAGATCTGCCACACACACACCACCATTTTAGCCAACTTTGGCCAGTGTTTGTGACTAAGTGGCTACTACAAAAGACTGGACATACCTCATATTGAATACCCTGGGGTTATCTACTTTTAAAGAAAATCTGTACATGTGAGGTGTGATTCAGAGATTTGATAGATAACAGTGTAACAAGGTCACTATGGATACATTTTTTAAATTATATATTTTGAAACAGCAGTGTTCTACTTGTACTTATAGCCCTAAAACTTGCAAAATAAAAAGCTAAGAACATGTTAACATTGGGTACTTCTAAACTCAGGACAAAATGTAGAAACTATTTAGCATGGTTTGTTTTTTTTGGCAGTTGTAGATGCATAACAGATTTTGAGAGTCAAAGTTAGAAAAGGTGTGTTTTTTTTTTTTTTTTGTACATTTTTTTTTCATCATATTTCATAAAAATTTTTTATAGTAAATTATATGATATGAAAATAATGGTATCTTTAGAAAGACCATTTAATGGCCAGAAAAACTGTATATAATATGCGTTGGTACAGTAAATGAGTAAGATGAAAATTACAGCTAAACACAAACACAGCAGAAATGTAAAAACAGCCCTTGTCCTTAACGGTAAGAAAATTGAAAATGGTCTGGTCACTAAGGGAATAAACAACATAAATATCAAACTAATTTCAGGTAGTATCTATAAAAGTCCATATGCCAAAACCTTCGTCAATGAACGTGTTCTCTAAAACGTGTAATTAAAATTTTTAAACAAGAATATAGGTATCTTCTATTTTTGCTAAAACTTCTTGTAAAGATGGTCCTTCCATTTTTAGCCAAGTTGATGTTAGAATCTTTTCTATTGTAATTTGTTAATACCCAAATTATACATTTCTTGAAAAATTTAAATTGGGAGAGAAATCACTTAAAGGTGGCCACCCCTGTATTATCCCTTCTATTTTCCAGATATAAGGAAGTGGCACTGACAAAGGCCACTTATAAATAATTTGCTTGCTTTGGCTAGAACCACAAGTCATGAGACTAAAAGGTGGCCACCTATAAAACACAATAAAATGGTTCAAGTTGCCATTTGGAACCAGTGCTAGAGGGTAAAAGTACAGTAGCTTCCACTAGTAAGTATAGGAGAACAAAAATTAATTGTACGTAAAATAACTTGCGGGTGGGAGGGTAAAAAAGTGGACCGACTCATAAATATGGCAAGTTCCATGAAAGCTGTATGAAAAGTAGAAAATTAATAATAGTTTCCTTGAAGGAACACATCCAACAACAAAATAGAATTAAACTGACCAACCACAACATTAAAACCACTGACCGGTGAAGTGAACAACATTGATTTTATTGCTACAATGGCACCTGTCAAGGGGTGGGATATATTAAGCAGTAAGGGAACAGGCCGTTCATGTGTTGAAAGCAGGGAAAATGGGCAAGCGTAAAGATCTCTGAGGCTCTGACAAGGGTCAAATAGTAATGGCTAAACAACTGGGTCAGAGCATCTCCAAAACAGCAGGTCTTGTGGGGTGTTCCTGATATGCATTGGTTAGTACCTACCAAAAGTGGTGCAAGGAAGGGCAACCAGTGAACCGGCATCAGGGTCATTGGCGCCCAAGGTTCATTGATGCACGTGAGGAGCGAAGGCTATCCTATTGGTCCGATCACACAGAAGACCTATTGTAACTTAAACTGGTGAAAAATGTAGTGCTGGTCATGATAAAAAAGTGCCAGAACACAGTGCATTGCAGGTTCTTGCATATAGGGCTGCGTAGACGCAGACAAGCCACAGTGCCCATAATAACCCACCACCGAAAGCAGCTTTAATGGAGATGTGTCAGACTTGGACCATGGAGCAATGAAAAAAGGTTGCCTAGTCTGATTTATTTTCTTTTAGATCAGGTTGATGACCAGGTGCGTATATGCGTGTGCGTATAATGCACCTTGCTACACTGCAAAAATTGTGTAGGAATGGTGTGAGGAACATGGCAAAGGTTCAAATCCTCCAAATTCCCCAGATCTTCCGATTGAGCATGTGTGCAGTGTGCTGAAGCAACAAATCTGACCCATGGAGACCCCAACTAGCAACTTGCAGTACTTAAAGGATCTGCTGCTAATGTCTTGGTGCCCGATACCGTAGGACACATTGAGAGGCCTTGTGCAGGTCATGCTTCGACTCGTCAGAGCTGTTTTTGCTGCGTGAAAGGGATATACAATATATTGCGCATGTAGTTTTAATGTGTTTGTGCATGTATATATATATATGTGTGTATGTGTATATATATGTATATGTATGTGTATATATATATATATATATATACACACAAAGGGTTGCCTCAATCATCATACAGGCCAGTCATTCACTGGCTGTGCATGTCAGCGGGGATTGGTGTTTTTATAAAAAATGTAAAAAGTACAATAAAAACAAAAAAAACTTTTGTTACTTACTCCATTTCTCTTTCCTCTTTATTAGGAAGCTTGTCTGTGATCTTATCTCTACAAAGAGAAAGGAGTATGTTTCTTGCTGGTGCTATCAATAACCTAGTCGCTCATGCTATCACTGCAAGTGTGAAGATTGAGGGAAACCCAAACCTTGACTATGTCTATGAGCTAAACGAATTACCAGATGTTGCATTTGTCTTACTGAGCCGTTCGGTGGAATCTCTCGGTAGTGATTGTCCTTATGCAGCAAGCCAAGCTATTAGAACACTGATCGCCATTTTTAAAGATGGTAGCTCTGTAGTGGTTGGCATTGCTTGGAGACATATGTTCGCCTATATCTACACGTTTCTGGAAGATGGACCTCTTCGTAATTCTGTCTATTTAGAAGAGCTGCTTCTCTCTGTGGTCAGGTAAATGAAAAAGAGAAAGGTAGGACAAGAACAATGCAAGATATTTGTTTTGCAGCTAAACCACTTGGCTGTTTTTTTTGAGTGTTTTCCTGATACATTTTAAACATATCAATCACCTTTATACAAGTGCAGGCCATTCCATAAAAGTAAAAATATGACTAATATGTTTAATGACAGAAGTTGCTTCAAATATTTTTATGGAATCATAGCAGTCTTTAGAATATATACATTTTATAAGGACTTCCGAGGCATCAATACATCTTTACATACACTTGATAATGATAAGAAAACCTTTTTCTGAAGTGAGGTGGTGTGGTGAAGGAGGAAGGTGCATTCTGCAAAACATTTTATTTTGTGTGCAATAAAGATTTGAGCCTTCAGTAAATACAGCATATTTTTTTTGAGGCCAAATCAAATGCATTAAAGTTGTATTGGTACCTGGTATGTCCCTTGTAATAAAACTTGAATAAAGGTGAGTGGATGGAAATAGAAGCTTAAAATTACTTGCCTAAAGAGGATTTTGAACTCAATCTATTATGAAATTCTTTATTACGCTAAATAGTATCTCGGAACTTTATGATACCTTGTAATAGTAAAAGCAAGTTTGTCCCTCCCACCTCAAAATAAGATTCTTCTCCTGATGATCTATACTATGCATTATCCTTGCTCAGGTCATTTCCAAAGTGACCGGTTTGTTTGGTAAATGCTTGACTATTTTTAGCCTTATAGGCTTCTATCACTGAAGGTAAAAAAAGAAAGAATTATCAGGATTATCGGTGTAAATTGCGAAGGATCCTGGGTTAAATCTTCTTCATAAGATATATAGAGGCTTTGTTGCCCTGTTCATTGCATCCAGTTGACCTGCCATAGGGGTTTATGTACACAAAGCAATTCTGGGGCAAAACTCTAAAGGTGGAGCATTCGGACGAAATATTTTTTTTGGTTTCCATGGTAATTGTTTAATATCCAGCAGCAGGAGCCTTACTTTGGTTTCCATGGTGATTGTTTCCATTGTATTAGTTCCATTCGGTCTACTTGTAGACTTTGACTTGGCATTCTTCATTCTATATAACCCCAATGTTTCGAAAATGTTGCTGCCTTAAAGTCAATATGAATTGGGAGAAATACAGGTTACATATTTTGATATTTTGAATCGCAAGAAATTGTTCATATGAATAACTGGCTGCTAGTCTGTTTATATACTTGAGCCAGATGCATGCAATGCTTGAATTTCTGCTTGTTTGTGTTTTTTATTTTTTATTTTTCAGGATACCCATCTTCCAAGCTCCAAACTGTAACGTGTGGGTCTTAGTACTACGAACGCTAAAAAGTTTGCATCTATTCCAGTCTATAACTTTTGCTGCGAACATTATAAAACTGCGTATCGCGTAGGTATTTCATTTAAAATCCTGTAATAAACACACTATAGGCAGTGCAAAGGAAAGGGGTAATATCTTCCTGAACATCCTTACCAACACTCTGTTGGAAACCATGTATGGTGGTGGTTTTATGTATTATTGCAAGTAAGAACCAGTATGTATAAAACAAAATATATATATTTTATATGTGGTCGGGACAATATTGCCGTAAAAGTTAGATAACACATAAATAGTACAAAATATCATAGTTAATAACACCAGTCGGTTGTGGTGTGCCTGTAATAAAGAGGGCAAAAAGAAGTATACCATACAAAATTTTATTCATTCTACAATACTTCAAAATTACTTGGTTAAGCCACGAAATGCCCGACAAATATCTTTAAAGAGAGATGGCGATATATATATAATGTTTCTATATTTCTTTTCATCTTGTGTTGATTTGTGATTGTTTTTTACATTTCTGTTTTTTTTTTTTTTTGTCCAGACCAAAGGATGTTAGTTATCATGCATTGTCGGTGCTACTTTACCCATTTCATCACATATTAAAAATGACTACTGCATACTCAGGTATGATGTAATTTGTGAACCGGTAGGCTGTAACTGTGTGATGTGTATTAAAGGTTATGTAATGATTTCTGAAATTGCTAAATGTATTTCTACACTGATTGCTTGGGGGAGGGAAAAAAACAAAAACATGACGGACAAGCATAACAAAGCATTGGCAATGGCAATACCCTGTCGCACCCTTCAGTCCTCTACCCTGTTGCAGCCATCTCTTCCACACCACATGTCTTTTACACCTAACCCTCCTGATGTCCATTCCAACTAACTACTTGCTGTATGTGGTGCCTCATCCTACCTCTTCCTCCTTGTGTGACTTAAATGGTCACTATAGGCACAAAACCGCTTTAGCTTAATGAAGTAGTTTTGGTGTTTAAATCATCTGCCAGTTAGGAGTTAAATAATTTTGTTTATCCAAGCCTAGTCACAGATTGCACAGTCTTCATCAACACTTCCTGTAAAAAGCCATCTAATGTTTACACCTTTTATTGCACATTCTGTTTAATTCAGAATTTTTCTCCTGCGCTCTTAATAACTTGTACGGGCCTCCGGTGTGTGTGTGTGATTAAAGTTCAATAGACAGAGCAATAGATAAAAACTTCTGAAGTAGGTTAACATCTGATTGAAAATTAAGCCATTTTGCTTACATGCAGGCTGTGTGACTCACAGACAGGGGAGGTTTGACTAGGGCTTCATAAACAGAAGCAAAAGTGATTTAACTCCCAAGTGACATAGAATTGAGCAGTGAGACTGCAGTTTCATGGTCTATACACCAAAACTACTTCATTAAGCTAATGTTGTTTTGGTGCCTATAGTGTCCCTTTAACCCCTTAAGGACACATGACATGTGTGACATGTCATGATTCCCTTTTATTCCAGAAGTTTGGTCCTTAAGGGGTTAAATGAAGCTTGCAGAGGGAACTCTGACTAACTAAATAAAGATCAGTGGGCAGTGCTGAATGGCAATTGCTTTAACAGAGCACCTATAATTATCTGCAGCTATTCTTGTTCTCACTGGTTGTGTCCAGTGTCTACTTTACTTCACTTTGCGGTCTCAGGTGCTATGTGGCTGCTGTCAGTCCTGGTCATGCATTCTACTTCTCCAGAGTGTAAAAGTTTGATTCAGAGGGTCAATTTGAGATTTTGAGCTCTGAAATACAACCTTGTTTCCCAATAACTCTTAAAAGTTACAAATTGTGTAATCAAGTAAGCCTGATACACCACCATACAGCCAAGACAATTTATAGATTATTAACCATACGGCTGTAAAGCTACTAGTGAATGGAGTAATAATATTAAAGGAACATCTTTAGCATTTAATTAATTTAGGAGTGCAACAGAGGTGAGAATAAGACACTCCTCCACAGAGCTTCTGGGTTCAGTATCTGTCTTCTTACCATGATGTTCCAGGTATTCTTGTGTGTGAACTGAAATCTGCTTCTAAGTTTCTGTACGCCTGCGGTACCATGGGAGTCAAGGTAATTTGCATTGTATGCCAGTCTGTGTTATTATAACCATGCATATGCTTTGAAGAGAAAGATATACTTTTTTTCCCCTTCAAACGTGAGTAGAAATCATAGCCAACTCTTGGTTATTGAGATGTGCAGAAAAATGGGATTACCACAACATATCTTCAGTTCCAATTTCGTACATCTGTTTTGCATGTAAGTGAATGGATGGAATTTTAGTAAATTGTTTTCACTTTGTATCTCCATGACCTGGCTGAAACAGCTAAATAAGTGTTCCAGTATGCTAGATTTACTGTTGCATGTTGTAGTGAGCAAAGCGCTACTTGTCCTGGGTTTAAGCTAAATACACAGTCCATTTCGCCAGCTCCGTTGTGATGGAATCTGATTTATAATGGACAGGAATTAGTTTTTTCTGATTTTCTGACTTAGATTTTGTCACCTATTATTATTGTAAATGATAGATCCACATTCAAATGAGAAATGTTACATTCATTTTACATTCATTTTTATATATAATTATTGAGCCCTATTTAACAAATAGAATATAAATATACCGTATATATTACAAATCTTATTTTATTTTTTTTTCTAAAGATCTCTCATTAGAGCAAATATATTGCCATCCAGAAGCTGTCAATGCGATGTCTATGAAATTGTCTGCTATTGCTCTGCTTAGCCTAAGTTTTCGCTGCATCAGGGAAATTGGTGAAACGGTAAGGTCTTATCATTGGTTGTACCTGGCCTGCTGTGTCCAGTAATTCACTGTAATACATGGCTGAATCTGCCTCACATTTATTGGCACTTTGTCAGTATATGTTAGCTCATTATCTGTCTGAAAGATCATGAAAATTTACTGTATATCTGGGTATGCATAATTAGCACTAGTGTAAAGAAACTTTTCATTTTTTATTTTTGTTTTTTATTCACCAACGACTTTTAGTTTATCTAGGGGGTCGAGAAACTTTGTTTACACACTAATGAAATGAACTGAACATACTCATGGATCTAATCATTAAAATGCCGGGCAACTCGGACATCCTCAAGCTTAAATGACACTCTAAGCAACATAGCCTCTACAGTCCAGTGTAGTGGTTGTGTTGCTAATATTACTTCATACCCTGGAATTTTTTTTTTTTTTAAATATGTCTTTATTGATTACATTTTTCAGTGTCTAATAAAGAGATACTTACAGTAGGGTATCACAGTACCAAAAATTTATGAGATATGTCCTAAGCAATACGTTTTCATTGAGACTTCAAATAATCACATAGTTACATCTCCCACACCAAGTCTTAACCCCTACAGCCCAGCCACAAAGACGTAACCGATGATCCAAATGTGTCTTCTTTACCCCTTGCAATATCTAAGCCTACGTCGATACAATTTCCTGCAGAGGCGTGTGCATAATCACCAACTCTGACGCTAATAGTGAATTTACCCCTAATGCCTTAGATATCATCACATACTTCACCGCAGGGCCTACACACACACAAAAATAAATTGGTGCAGCGTTTCCATGTTCTCTGTCCATGTGGTATATTGCTATGTTTTACCTTGCTTACCTGACATTTCATACATTGACATTTAATAATTGCAACTCATGACCTGCACTGCAAAAATAAAGAATTAAAAATAAATGATCGCATGAGTTGAGGGTACAGATCATTTAGTATAAATATACTGTAGCAGAGCTCCATTATTCAGCATCAATATCTCCGCTGTAGACTCCTTGTAGCTAAGGAAGCAATACGTTATCCAAGACACAATCCCCCCAGTAACTGGACGCCACAGCTGGCTTTTATGCTACTCCCCATGTCATTTCTTAAATTACATTCCAGGGGTTTCCCCCTGGTGTCCTTTGTTGGGGACAAGGGACAAATCAACATTTTACAGACTCCTCCTCTGTGCCTGGGAGATAATTGAGTAAGAACAACTCTTTAATTACATTATCTCCCAAGTACAGAAAATATACAATATTGTAAAACCACATAAAACACATTTTAATATCTCAGGACTCCACGAAAGTTAGTTCACCGAATAGCAGGGATCTGATCGCTCACTTTGTCAAAATATTACTCAGATCCGTTTGGTAGATTAGGAACGCCATTCGAGTGAAGTTTAGACCGGTCGACCACAAGGTGAAACCCCAAAATAGTTCCAGAGGATTTTAGGCTTTGACCGGTCTTCTTTCGGGAGTTCTCGCACGAATGCTGACAAAGGCTCCCACTGGCTGCTGGCATACGAACAGTCCCATTGTTCGGTAGTTTAGGTCTCTCGAACGCCGTTTTCCTACTGATTCGGGAAATTGAATGGGCAGTGGTAATAGTTTATCGTGTGTTCGCAGAGTCCAGTAGCCGAAATTAGTTCCAGGCCGTCGACGGCCATATACCCCTGCCCACGTTTGAGAGACAAGATGGCCACCGTTTGTTTGCACACGTGCGTTCGGTAATACGGCCACACAGGGGAAACCCTTCTTTAATGAGCAATTGGAGGTTAACAGCCAGGGGTGGTCTGTAGTTAAAATAACCAAATTCTGGGACTACACAGATGGGAGTTCGGTAAACGAGGGGTACGGACAGCCGAACAAAGGGAAGAGAAAAGGGACGTTCTTCTACATATACTATATTTTAAGTATACATATACAGTCTAGCAGCGAGAATTACACATGTGTTTGAATTAAAGAAACACTATAGGGTCACCAACTAGCCCCACCTATCCCCCCTTGCATCCCAGTAACATGTCTTTCTGCATCCTTCCAATAGTAAATTAAAGGTACTAACATATATGAGGCATCACTGCCCTCCCTACAATCCTGTACTGTATGACGTATGGTTCGCCCCAGCCACCCAGGTTACTACTCCCTAGTCTGGAATGAAAAGAATTTACATTAGTCAACGGTCATAAATCCCAACTTCACTAGCGCTGATTTAAAAAAATAAATTATAATCCTTTTTAAATTTTATTTCCTTTTCATTTTTCAATCTTGTGATGTCCGGAACCTTCTGATCTGGATGTAATCCGCTCCCCCCAAGAAGTTCCAGGCACATGGTGGCAGTCCCCCTACTAGGAGTTTATTGTGAGTCACCGCTGTCATTGGGTGTATATGGTGGAGGCTTCCCACCTGATGTTCCTTTACAATTACAGCTTTTCATTTCCCCAGATCACTGCTTGAAGTGTAGCCCCCGAAGTGTTGGAAATTAAAAAAGGGTCCACTATATTTGGAATCTGGACTTTTTAACTGCATGTATTTTCATGGTGAATAAGTTCTATAAACACCCTTACTCTCTAATTTGAGAGCTTTCTAGAATTGTGTGCTAACTCACTGTTTAATATACCTTCAGTGAATTTGACTAGGCGGGCAAGGGTTCAGCAAAGGTATTGGTTCTGATTCCTATTCGAGACATATACATTTGCTAGTGTGTATCTGTTCTTTGAAATGTAACCTTTCACAAAAATGTGCCTGCCTTATGGATCTATTTCGCTATGCAGTTTGAGGAGTTGCAGTTTCTTTAACACTGGGGCAGCTCCTTAAAGGACCACTCTAGGCACCCAGACCACTTCAGCTTAATGAAGTGGTCTGGGTGCCTGGTCCAGCTAGGTTTAACCCATTTTTTTATAAACTTATCAGGCTGTCTTATTGACAGCCGCTAGAGGCGTTTGCGTGCTTCTCACTGTGAAAATTCTAGAGAACACCACGAGACTGACATCTGAGATGTTCATAAATGCTTATAAATGTCTCCAGAACTCCTTTGACTGCATCTTACTATGCATGAATGCTTTTGTTTTGTAAATCTTTTAGGACGCGCGTTGGATGATTGACTGGACTTGGCAGGAGCTGCAGACAGTACTAAGCACAGAGATTCCTAACTCGGATCTATGTGTACTCCTATGGTCCAGGATTTAGGCATCTCGTACATCTTTTCTTATGGAGTTACTGACAAAACAGAATGCTGACACAATGATCTGGAACACTTCCTTTCTGGTCTACTTCACTTTTTGAGCAGCTTTATACGTCCTAACATCAGACTGATCTCTCTTTTATACTTCCTAACATCAGACTGATCTCTCTTTTATACGTCCTAACATCAGACTGATCTCTCTTTTATACTTCCTAATATCAGACTGACCTCTCTCTCATACTTTTTAACATCAGATTGATCTCTAATTTGTAGTGCATTACAAAATAACAAAACTTAACTTAACTGTTACTTCTGTTAAGATATTTATAGGTCTCTTAAGGATTTTAAAATGAGATATTTGTATGTTTTTGAAGATCTTTTACAATGAAAGACTAGAAAGCCAAGAAATTCAAGAATAAAGACATTCAACAGATACATATGCCTTGATTTCACGATGTAAAGAGCACTTTTGATGGTTTATGTGGGCACATCTGCAGCTAGGTTATTTGTCTCTCTTTTTTTATTTTTTTTTTATTTTTACTCCTAGGTTGGATTTTTACCCACCAATGGTACGTTCTGTGCCATTCTAACATTGCTGCTGTTCTGCATTGGCCAAGCACCTGTTTTAACACCTGCTGGGAAGATTTTCAGCATGCATTTGTTCGGTTGCCTTAAATTACAGAAGGCAGCGCTGGATTCCCTCACAAACTTTACATGTTTGTTAAGTGAGTCGAACTTTGGTTACATGTTGTCCAAGCGTGTTTTTTATTATTACTATTATTTTTATTTTTTTTATTGTACAGATTTAGCTTCTTGTCAAACTAATGTTCCATTGGACTTTACTTATCAGAGTTGTAACTTGGGCATGGTGCCACTGTGAGCTGTGCTCATAAAGTTCTTTGGCACTGTCTAGCTGTGTACCGAGATGGGAAGCTCTACCCAGTATTGTCATCTTACTCCTGTGTCATTAAGAGGCGTATTGGGCGCAGGTAGCCAAAAACCCAGTGGCGGATCCAGGGGGTAGCAACAGGGCAATTGCCCCCTCCCTGAGAAAATAACAATACCAAGGCTCTCCCTCTCCCCTGCCATTCCTGCTGTGTCCCTTCACGGACCAGAGGGGAGATCGGAGATCTGAAATGCGGCAGCCGTTAGGGGAGGGAAAGAGGACCCAGGGGAGCTCTAAACTACAGCTCTACTGGGTTCTCGTCTTGCGAGCTTGGAGTGTTGTCGTGTTTACCATGCCCCAAGCTCGAGTTCCCTCCCCACTAGGACCACCAGGGCTTGGAAGCAATGTCCCTCCTCCCAGGGGGAGGGGGATATAAAGTATGTTTATTTAACCCCTTAAGACCGGAGGGCGTACTATTACGCCCTATTCTAAGCGGCTCTAAACGCCGCTGGGCGTAATAGTACGCCCTCCGGTCTTTCGGTACTTACCCGGTCGCCGGCGATCCCACGCCGGCGATCGCGGTGGGGGGGACTCCCAGGGAGCCCCCCGTGGCACATCCGTCCTCCTCGAAGCCCCCCGGCCATGTGAGAGTGGGGTCCTTGCGAGGACCCCACAAACACATGGCCGGGGGTAGCTGGCTGCAGCATTGCCAGCAGGGGGACTGCCTGTAATGACAGGTGGTCCCCCTGCTGGCTGAAAATAAAAATAAAATAAATAGTGTAAAAAAAATAATAATATATACTTAGATCATATATATATATCATATCTAAGTATATATATATACACATATACATACACACACGTACACCGTCTAGGTGTATTTTACTATTAATATATATATAATTATATATATATATTAATATCAAATTACACGTAGACTGATACTGATTAAATATATATATAATTATTGTTATATATATATTTATATATAATATAAAAAAAATAAAAATGTAAATATGTTAAAAAATAAAATTAAAAAAATAATTAAAAATAAATAATTAAAAAATATATAGATGTGTGTTATTTCGTTCTAACTGTATTGTGAAATTAATATATATATATATATCAAAATACACGTAGAACGAAATAATATATATATCTATATACATAAATATATACGTATATATCACTATATATATACCTATATATAAATAAAAATATATTTTTTAAAATTCTATAGATAAATACATATATATATACACATACGTATATATATACATATATTAATTCTACATATATATTTACGTAATATTTTTACATAATTAGGTATCTTAATTAATTACAATTAGCAGGACCTGCCTGACAACCCATGCCGAAAGTAAAGGGAATTTAATTTGCTAGCACTATATTTAACCCTATAACTTTCCAAGACACCATAAAACCTGTACATGGGGGGTACTGTTCTACTCGGGAGACTTCGCTGAACACAAATATTAGTGTTTCAAAACAGTAAAATGTATTACAACGATGATATCGCCAGTAAAAGTGAAGTTTTTTGCATTTTTCACGCACAAACAGCATTACACGGACAATATTATTGCTGTGATACTTTTTACTGTTTTGAAACACAAATATTTGTGTTCAGCGAAGTCTCCCGAGTACAACAGTACCCCTCATGTACAGGTTTTATGGTGTTTTCAAAAGTAACAGCGTCAAATATAAGGCTTGCGTTTCATTTTTTTCACATTAAAATTAGCCAGATTGGTTACGTTGCCTTTGAGACCCTATGGTAACCCAAGAATTAAAATTACCCCTATGATGGCAAACCATTTGCAATACTAGACAACCCAAGGTATTGCAAACAGGGTATGTCCAGTCTTTTTTAGTAGCCACTTAGTCACAAACACTGGCCAAAATTGGCGTTTTTTGAATTTTTCACACACAAACAAATAATAACGCTAACTTTGGCCAGTGTTTGTGACCAAATGGCTACTAAAAAAGACTGGACATACCCCATTTGCAATACCTTGGGTTGTCTACTATTGCAAATGGTATGCCATTATGGGTGTAAATTTCATTCCCGGCTACTATACAGTCTCAAAGGCAACGTAACCAATCTGGCGAATTTCAATTTCAAATGTAACGTGCTATATTTGACCCTGTAACTTCCCAAAACGCCATAAAACCTGTACATAGGGGGTACTGTCTTACACGTGAGACTTTACTGAATACAAATATGTGTATTTTATTGCAGTAAAAGCAAACAGTATTATGACATTGACTGTTAAAATGTCATGTAGAACTAAAAAAATAAAAAAAATCTTATTTTCTCCCATTTTTTTCATATTAAATTATGTTTCATAGCTAAATATTTGATATTAAATGAAAGCCCTGTTTCCCCTGAATAAAATGATATATAATAAGGGTGGGTGCATTTACTATGAAAGAGGTGTATTACGGTTGGACAGACATGTAGCGCAAATGCCAGGTTTTGTTTATATTTTGTTTTGTTCACAACGTGTACATTTGGCTCCGTCCTTAAGGGGTTAATTTAAAAATATAAATATTTTTATATATTATATATGTATAACTTTATTTTAAATGAATACATATTTGCTCCCATCTGTCCCTTCACACACAATACAGGCTTGTATCAGCCCCAAACACAGTAACACACTACACCCCTCTCCACACACCCACACTACACTCCCACACACAAACTACGGTCCCTATTCTCTAGTACAGACCCTATCCCTGCAAACCCCTGGTAAGTTGTCAAACCTTTCTTAAACCGTTCGACCACTTACTCTGGGAGGGCACCACGGCACACCTGGCACCATAACCACTATAGAGAGTTATAGTGGTTTTGTGCCTAGATTGTTCCTTTACATAATCTACCAATGCCCCTCCCGAGATTAGGTTCTGGATCCGCCCCTGCTAGAACCTTGCCAGGTACTCTATCCACATATACATGTAGCTATAACAAAAAGAAACTAAACTGGGTAAAAAAAGATAAATATATAAAAATGTTTGTTCTTTCTGCATTGTCCATGTAAGTGACCCTTTGCTCTTCTTTCTTGTTATTAGATGCCCACAAATGCCAGGAGGAAATCTACAAAATACTGCTTGTTTATGTTGACTATCCAGGCATTGATCCAATAGTAAGATTTTTTTTCTGATATATTTTCCTTCGCAACTCTATTTCTAAAATAATATAAATGAGTAAGCCAAAGACACACCCGTGGAACAAATTTACAGCTTGTCTGATATCCTCTTTCCTTGTTAAGTAAACAAATCATTTATACAGTGGCAAAAAAATTACATCATTATTATTATTATTTATATAGCGCCATCAGATTCCGTAGCGCTGTACAATAGGTGGACTAACAGACATGTAATTGTAACCAGACAACTGGACGTACAGGAACAGAGAGGTGGAGGACCCTGCTCAATGAGCTTACATTCTAGAACATTCTAGAGGATAGACTCCATGTGCATTTCCAGAGCAGCATCCTTTGTCATAGACTAAACTAACACATTTACTATATTGATATGGATGTCTGTGATTTTCTTTTTCAGATTACAAATTCTAAGCGCTTAGAGGCACCAGCATGGTATCTCTAGTGTTCACTTCTTTGGGGGAGGGGGAACAAAATAGGATGGTTTTAACTGTTTTTATTACACCATTCTTGAATATTACAGAATTAACAGAGTTATTCACGAACTTGGGAATTGAAAGGGAATTTCAAAGTTAAGGCCAGAGTAGTCAAACGGAAGCACAGCTGACTTAGAGAACTTTTCGACTTCTGCTATTGTGACCTGATACTTGAAATGAATTTTGAATTCTTACCTTAGTGAGTAACCCTGTAAGATATCACTAGCCAGTTTGGAAACATCCTCTATGTCTGCTACCATCACAGCTGTTCAGATTTAAATGCACTGCAGTTTGATATATCGTAATTAAACCCCCATTTTGTTGCTTGTTGTTCGATTTCTCACTCCGTTTAATATAATCCATTAGTGGTTTGTGGAAACCAACAAAACAAGGCGTTCTTTACTGCAGTAATTTGTGTAGAAGAGCAGAGTAAATTCTGGTCTATTTGCTGAACTAGCCATCAAAACATTAAGTTGACACCAGAGCGGTAAGCTACTCAAAAATGTCAGTACGGACAAAATTCCATGCAAATGACTAAACTCCAACCAGGTTGGCAATTCTCATATGTATTAAAGTCAAGGCCGGTCAAAATGCAATAATTCCCTCTGAATCTACACTATCCAACCGAATGCAGTTGATGTCCATTTAAAAAAAAAAAAAAAGCTCTGATGTAGCACTGATTTTTAAAGAAGTTTTGGGCCAAATATTTCTGGTAGGTTTTCCATTTTGTCAACATATTTCACTTGCATTTAAATATCTGGAGTATTTGACTGCTTGCAGCTGGCAGGAAAATAGTTAAAGGGAACCTCTCACGCCCAACAACTTATGATCATCAGAGTGAGCATAGGATTCTATATCTATATTGTGCTTGCAAATTTACATATTAGGAGAAAAATCCATTTTAAAATGGATTTTTCTCCCAGCTGTCAGTCAATGCCTTTGCATTGACTGACAAGGGAGACCAGAAAGACCTCCCAGAGGAGATCCCTCTGCTCTTCACCCATAGCAACCATAGCACATACACGGTGGTTGCTATGGTAACACCCTTGCCAGGTGCTTCCTAGGGAGGATAGGAATAGATTGACTTGACGTCACTCTGTTCAGACGCAAGCACGCTGGCGAACATCACTGAGGAGGTTTGCCCTGCGTTGGGTATGCGTCCACAAGCAGGGCAAATCGGAGAAGACAGCAGGCGGTACGGAGGATGGCCGGAGGTGGGTGTTACACGAAGAGTAACACACACAAAGTGGTGCTGGAACGAGGAAAGTTGAATAAAGCAATATATTTTACATTGAATACACCATGTATCTTTGTGATATATGGTGTATTCAATGTATAAAGGAGCAATTGTAGGAATTAAAGGAAAAACTGATATGTCTTGTAAATATCCTATTGCAGTGGGCAACCTAAAATATGTCATCTACTTAAAGTAACAATGTTTCCTTCACATGACACTTTAATGTATAGTAGCAAAGCCTACTCCTTTGTATGTGCGTTGGGGACTTTCTAAACCAGGGGTGCACAAAAGGTAAATCCCCAGATGTTGTAGAACTACAACTCCCATGATGCTTTGCGTGCCTTTGGAACGCCAAAGCATCAGGGAAGCTGTAGTTTTAAAACATCTGGGGGATCTACCTTTTGGGCTCCACTGTTCTAAATCATGTTTTTTGCTGCTTAGGTTCTAAAAAAGACTTTAAATACTTCAGCGTCATGGCTGTGGGCGTCTTCCGTGTCTAAAAACAAAGACTCCTGGCCGCAATCCATTATTTTTCTAAAAGGTAGGATGTTCCTTTGCATGTGTAAAATTTGGCTTATTTTTAATTTTTTTGCACTACCTTAATCCCTTCTTTATTTTATTACATGCTGTTTCGCTTAGTCTATAACAGTGGTAGTCAACCTGGTAACTACCGCCCACTAGTGCGCGATTCAAGCTTTCATGGTGGGCGGTGGTGTGTTTTATCAGCAAACCCTCGGTTCTCCAGCACATCCACATGCTCCGCACAAGCGCATGTCCCCTTCCAGCCATTGAGAGAAACCTCACAAAAAAACGCCTTTCAAGCTCTGTTTGCTTAACATGCAACCATGCTGGAAAACTGAAAGCAGTGGACCAGAAGTGAAGAAATCACAACTTACCATAACTCAGTGGAGGGCAGAATGTGGCTCTCAAAGTCTTGTTTTGTTTCATTATATGATAGTGTCAGACAGTTTTTTGATAGTAATAATGAGGCTGGTCTCTACGTACAATTAAAATCCATAAAGAATGATGCCTTTTATCTGGCAGATATTTTCAAGAAATTTTATTTATTTATTTTAATTGTTTTTTATTGAGTTTTCAGTTTTTTTCAAAGATAGAATGGAGAATGTAGAGGAGAGACACGCAAGCCTCAAGTTGTAAAATAGTGATAAGTCATAAGGTAAAAGAAAAGATTAAGCAATGCATACAAGTAATACAGGGGCGCATTTTCAAGAGATTTAATTAAATTAATGTGCACCTTCAAGGAGCTAATATAACTCTTCTATAAGTTGCAAATATTTTGTCATTATTTATTCTTCAATTTAAGCAGCTCCCGCGTTGTTAGGCGCAGCATCGATTGAGATGTGAAAATTCAATAAATTGTACTTACATGTATTAACATGCATAAAGTAAAAAAAAAAGAAAAATCAAGTGAAGTACATAGTTTTTTAAAATGCCCTCCGTTCGAAAACATTTTTTCGCACTTGAGCAAAACAAACCATTAAGTTACTGCTGCACTAGCAGGCAGTAAGGAAATGTTAAAATCAACAAAAATACGTAGGTATTAAAAGATTGATTACCCCTGGTCTATAAGGTAGAAATGCTACTGTGTTCCTGGCACTATTGCTCCCCCTGCCGTGCGTGCATTAGACCTCCCCATAGGAAAACATTGAATTATTGCTATCCTGGGTGTCCAGAACGTGCAGCGTCCGATACCGGACCAAATATCCATTTCGATTCAGGAAGCCCTCTAGTGGCTGTTTACCAGACAGCCACTAGAGGATGACTTAGTGATGCTATGTAAACATTGCAATTTCTCTGGAATGTTTTACATTGCAGTACTAGGTGCAAAAGGGACACTGCACCCAGGCCACTTCAATGAGCTGACAGTGTCCCTTTAAGATAAACTGGGGCGGGGAGCCAGGAGAAAATTCCAAAGCATTAACAATTTCTCTAAAGAAGCTATCCAATAATGGAACTTTGATTTGCTACTGTGGCAAAATTACAATTACTATTGTAACAACCTTAAATATTTAGGTTCAAAGCGCATTTAAAATTTTAGGCCAAAATAATTGGCATTGTTTTATGACAGTTATATTTCCCCTTCTGCTTTTTTTTGTGCTTAGACCGTCACCTAAACTTAAAAATTCACTTTGAATTCCCAGCAAATTCACACTTTAGCGAGCAACTCTGATATAAAAATGTAATTTATTACATCAGATATACCACAACTGTTGTTTAGTTGTGGCTTTGAGTTCATACAACTAAAATTATCTATCGGTTTTCATAATATTTTTATTACGGAAAATGTTATAATAATTTACGGTGCATACAACTACCCCATGCCATAAAACTTAGTTGCAAACATTTCTACATAAGTTGTTTGTTTATTTTTATTTTTTATTTATTTTTTTTATTTCAGACTTGTACCTGCCCTGCATACGTTTTATATTACTTGTGTGAAACGGGCTTCGGTGCAATGTCATCATCAATATATTGCTGCTTTGTTAATCTACCCATCTCCCCACCCGGGTCTCCACCCTATCCACCCTACATGTTTATTTTTACACGCTGTAACAGACTTTTGGTTAACTTTGTTTTAATTGCACGTGGGAGTTGGGGTGGTGTGTGTCATTTGCATTGTATTCCTAGTACTTTACAATTCTGTGACAGCGCAGCTGTTTTAATATTGCATAGCATAGTTGTTATATAGTTTTTATAAAATTACAGCTATTTTTGTTTCTTCTCTTTTGAGTAATCTGAGTAGTGACCTCATCATATGACTGCAGTAAATGTTCTCTTAAAAGATTTGTCTTGTGGCAAATTATTTTTAATTTTTTTTCCACAGATCTGTTACCATTGTTATTGAAACGTCTCTGCAATACACACTGGGAGCATCGTCAAAACACACTAGATTACATCAGTGATCTCCTAAATTGCTATACAGGTAGCTCATAGTAAAAAAAATAAATAATAAAAATAAAAATGAAAAATTATAAAAAAAGTCACTTTGCATTACTGTCTGGTTCATATACTAGTCATACTGGCATAAAACTGTAAGCGCCTGTTTATTCTTCGTAGGCTGCAAACCTGGGTCCTATTTGACCCATCCAGGTAAATCTGATTCCTTCATTAAAGAACCACTATAGGCACCCAGACCACTTCAGCTTAATGAAGTGGTCTGGGTGCCAGGTCCAGCTAGGATTAACCTTTTTTCTATAAACATAGCAGTTTCAGAAAAACTGCTATGTTTATAATAGGGTTAATCCAGCCTCTAGTGACTGTCTCATTGACAGCCGCTAGAGGCGCTTGCGTACTTCTCACTGTGATTTTCACAGTGATTTTCACAGTGAGAAGACTCCAGCGTCCATAGGAAAGCATTGTGAATGCTTTCCTATGGACTGGCTGAATGCGCGCGCGGCTCCTGCCACGCATGCGCATTCAGCCGAGGAGGCGGGGAGGAGGAGAGTGCCCCGCCCGGCGCTGGAGAAAGAGGTAAGTTTAACCCCTTCCACCCTCTAGAGCCCGGCGGGAGGGGGACCCTGAGGGTGGTGGCACCCTCAGGGCACTATAGTGCCAGGAAAACGAGTATGTTTTCCTTGCACTATAGTGGTCCTTTAAAGTCTACGTATGACTCCAGTACATAGGGAATTCTGGAATATATTTATTTAATGTTGAACAGCTAATACATTTCTGTTGTTCTGTAAACACATTGACTGATCACGCTGATGCTCAGAATGAAAAGGGCAATAGATGAGTTCAGTGTGGTGGATAGGCAATATTACCTCTGGTATGCTAAAATGATACAAACTGAACAGTTTGTAACCTATGAAATCTAAATTAAAGCAAGACAAAATCCCTTCTGATCTTGCAAATCAGGCCTTTTCAATAGTTTTAACACTTTTCTACCACTCATATCTTCTAAGCAAATAAGATTTACTAAATGGATATTCTTGTACTTGTATAGGACGAGAAGGCTTCAAACTGTCTCTTTGCGCATCTGGCATTCCTCATAGGGCCGTAGATCTGCTTAAAGACCCGGTGAGTGCGGTTCGAGCGGGTGCTGTGCAGTGCTTGTCAAGGCTAGTTAATATTGTTGACCTGCACGTAAGACTGGCCAAAAACGCTATGTCTATGACCGCAATGAAAAAAAAGGTGAGTGATAAATACCAATACATTTATGAATACATAGTTAAAGAAATATTGGTTTTATAGTAAAATATATCTTGTTTTCTTGTTATGAAAAAAAAAAAAAAATTTTTAAAAGGGCATTTTCACCTGCAAAACAAAGTTCTTGTTTGGAAGCTTCTAGAAATCTCACACCAGCTAGTCACTAATATAATCCCAAAGCCCTACTTTACCACATCTCTGGTGAATTCAAGTAAGCGAACAAATCTGATGTATGGATGGTTCCATGAGGCTGCACAACCTAGCACAGATCTTCCTGCTCCTCCAATAAGATACCATTAATATGATGAGAAATGGTCATTTGATGTACATCTTTTTGCTGCACTTTGGTCAGAAGCACAGTTTTTCTGACCCTAAAAACCATGCTGGTACTCATAAACTAGTGTATTTACGAATCTTGCATCATGTGCCAGCATTGAGCATATAACAAAATGCAATCTGACACCCTTTCATATTTTCACATTGTGCACAGTCTTAGCAGATAGGAGCCAACCAATAATGCGGGATTCCCTTAAATACACACAAGAAAGGACGAAGTAAAAAAAAAAGCCTGTACCAGAGCCATTTGTGGCGTTGACCCACAGGATGGTAGTATTCACATCTTGAGCTCCTTTTCAGATCGCTGGCAACATGTTGCTTGCGTGGCAAGCACAAAATAATTGCTTTGTTTTCCAACACAAAATTCACATATCTTGATCCAGTTTATTCCTTCTAAACTGCTATTTCTGGTTTCACTTAATGATTGTGTTTTAACCTAAATATCCGATTGGTGATCATTACCAATTTAGTAAAAATGTTTAATTTTGCACCCGACTAAATAACTATACTTTGTGCAAGTGTACCTAGAATAATTTTCTGCTGTTTTGCAGGCAGAGGGTCGTCACAACAAATATTGATTGGATTTAAATATTTCTGTGAACGCACTGCATTGTTAATTACTAAAAAATAAACTATTAACACATTTGTATTTTCAACACTATAGTTTTCCTTTAATTTCTTTAGAAACCTTTTTTAATTTTTCATCTTTGTTCCTCTGTAATTATCTGCAACCTTTCCTAACTGTTTGCTTTTTCTGTTTTGCTTTTCCACCAAATATCTGAACAGGTTATTGTCCCAAACTTCATGCATATTTTATCTGAAGACCAAGATCCTTCGCCCAGAAGGGCCGTCATAAAGGTGTTTGTGGATTGGCTGATACTAGGTCATATCCAAAATTTTCACGAACCAGAATCGCTCCTTTATAGAATTCTAGATGTGGCAAAGAAAGACTCTGACTGTGAGGTGAAATCTAATGCTCTAGAACTGGCTAGATTATTTGTGGATCAAACATTTAACGTATGTGTCGCCAATAGCAGTCCGTACAATGCAGAATTACCTTCCAACACTAGTAAGGTCAGAATAGTGGGAGCGTTGCAAAAATTAAATAAAGTGGGGATTTTTACGTATTTGTTGGATGCCCTTTGTGACCGTGATAAGACAGTGGCCTTGGGTGCCTGTAAAATCCTCATATCCTTGAAGTCAAAACTGAGTGGCGGAGAAGAAACCGTTAATGCAGAACTCTATGGCTTGGAACGGCTAAAAGATGTATTGAAGAACTGGCTCCTCAAACTCCACCGTGGATAAAGTATAAGTAATGCATTACACAAAAAATTGGCAAGTGGCGATGTGCACAGAATGTATATGGTTAGCATAGATGGTTCTCTAACAATGCCTAGTAACTCTAAGCACCAGTCCCCTTACTGTTGGATAGCCGGGCTGGATTGTGGGATGGTGATAAGAAAGATGTTGACTGTTACTGTTTGGAAGTGCTACTTTTGAAAACCATTAATCTTTGAGTATCTGTACTGGAAGATATAGTATCCTTTCCCTGGTTGGGTATTTGAGAGGCATGGAGCTTAACATAACAATTTTTTTTTATATGAATTGACAGTTAAGTTTCAGTCCTCCTGTGTAATGTATTTGTGATGCTAAAATTAAGTTCAGTCTTATATCATGCTAGCTAATTTTCTTGCGGCTGTGCAGGTGACCTATTCTGTGTTTATATACATTGGTACATTGCTGAAAGACAAATATGGCCACCTAAAAAGATGTGTCATCGTCTGTCTTCTCTATAATCGTAAATGAGCCTTTCCCACAATCCTTCATGTGTGTATGCTGATTAGGATATGTGGGATGCCATTTGGTAGCAATCTTGGAGGAGGCAAAAGCATTTTTATTGTACAAACTCAATTTTGTAACTTTAATATGTAGCCAATGCAGCTGTTTTCTAGTACACACCTTGTCACTTGGGGAAAGAAAAGGGTCTAGTTTTTTTTTTTTTTAATAATCTATACAATAGACATTAAAAATAAGTATCAGTAATACTCTGATATATATTTGTCAGCGGGTGAATTGGTTTTCTTTATTCTTGTACTAAGTTTATACTTACTCAGGTAAGTTGATAGTAACCCCAAATAAAATTACAAAAAAATCAAAATCTGTATTAAATATGTTAAAAAAACAAAACAAAAAACTTGTTGTATACTTGTGGTGAAAATGTTTGCAAAACTATTTGAAATATTTTCGTTTTATATCCTTTGGAATTGCAATAAAGTTAATTTGCGACCCCCCTCTCCCCCTTCCTCTGTTTTACATGCTGTGTGCAATCACGTTCAACCACATCACTCCTTTCCTGCTGTTCCAAATGGAGATATAAACCCTAAACTGTAAGTGATATTTAATTCTGACACAAAATGACTATCAGACATTGCCTTCGATCAATAAAGTGTGTGTGTATACCCTATATGGACAAAAGACACCTTAGCATTACACCACCAGGGACTTTTATGACATTGCATTCTAAATATAGTCATTAATATTTAGTTTGTCCAATCCTTCCCCTTTGCAGCTCTACCAGCTTCCACTTTTCTGGGGAGGCTTCCTACAAGAGTGGGAGTGTATCTGTGGGAGTTTTGCCCATTTATAGTAGGGCATTCGTGAAGTTAAACACTGATGTTGGACGAGAAGGCTTGGCTCGCAATCTCTCTTGCAGATCATCACAAAGTTGTTCGATGGGGTTGAGGTGAGGGCTCTGTGTGGGCTAGTCACGTTCTTCCAAATAAACTCATTCACCCATGTGTTTATGGACCTTGATTTGTGCACTGGGGCACAGTCATGCTGGACTAGAAAAGGGCCTTCCCCAAACCGTTCCCAGAAAGGTAAAAGCATAGCATTGTCCAAAATGTCTTGGTATGCTGAATCATTAAGATTTCCCTTCACTGGCCAACTCCTGAAAAAAGCCCTATACTATTATCTCTCTGTAACAGATTCCCCTGTTGTTGGATCTGTAATTGTGTGAACAAGCTGTTCGTATAAAATCATTCGGCTAATTAACTGTATTGTATGTTATAGTAAGGGCCGTTCGAATCACAAATTTTATACCAAACGACTGACCAGCCAGAACAGAAGTGTGGCACTCATTAACCTCCCTGACTTCAATAATACCTTGAAAATCACGAACACCCAATCGGTTTACTTGCTATACAGGGTGGTCGACGTTCATCTGCACAAACACGGTGGCAGCCATTTTGTTTAGTCAAACGCACTCAGTGGTGTTTGGTCGTCGAACGCGTGGAACTATTTTCGGCTACTTTTTTTCCACGAACACTGCTGAAACTTCCATCTTCTGTGCGTTCAGCTAAACTCATGCGAACAGAGCGCTCTTTCTCCAGAATAAACTTACGAACAAGCTGCATCTAAAGAGAGTAAGCATGAACCGATCCGTTGTGCAATTTGAACTTTATCCGAATGGAAAGATAGACTGACCGCACAGCCTGCATCTGTGGAACTGTTTTGGGCATGCAAACAGGCGTGCGGTCGGTCCAAAGAGCCTTTCGACTATCTCCTGAACCCCTGAACGGATTTACGTGAATTTTGGATATGTTTTTCTCCAAGTTTTGCTGTTTATAAAAATATAAGTTGTATTCATATTGTATGTAAAATCGTGGAGTTATAAAAATGTATGAAAAGTATGATTTTGCAGCTTGGAGATAATTGAGTAGATACAGTAAGTAACTAAATTATCTCCCAAGCAGAGGGGAGGGAATATGTGGGTTGTAACCATTGTTTGATTTGGCTAATGTATAATTGTCTATGGGTGTCTCCCTTGCATGGGAGAACTGCGTAAAAGAGAGTACTTGCCATTAAACGTTCAGTTCTTCTTCACCCTCAATCTAGAGTCTTGTCTCTTATTGGGGGTAACAGCTATACAGCTATCACACTAGCTCTTGTAAGAGCTTTCTTCACTTGGATCATTACTGGATGCTGAGCATCCTCCTCACTGATCGGGAAAAGGACACCCTCCAGCGGTGGAAACCCCTCTACTACCCGGGTTAACCGCTACTCTCCTCCTTACAGTTGACACAATGCAGTCAGGCAGGTAATGTTCTCCTGGCATCCACAAAACCTAGACTCTGATATCAGACTGCCAAACAGGGAAGCGTGATTTGACGCTTCGCAGAACACGTTTCCACTGCTCCAGAGTGCAATGGTGGCGTGCCTTACAGCACTTGATCCGAAGCTTGACATTGTACTTTGTGATGTGAGGCTTGCATGCAGCTGCTCGGTCATGGAAACCCATTCCATGAAGCTTCCACCACACAGCTATTGTGCTGGTATTAACACCAGTGGAAGTTTGGAACTCTTCACCTATGGAATCAGCAGAGCATTGGCAACTTCTACGCACAAGGCACCTCAGCTCTCTGTGACCTCGTTCTGTGACTTTACATAGTCTTCCGCTTCATAACTTAGTTGCTGCTGTTCATAAACACTTCCACTTTCCAATGTTATCACTTACAGTTTTCTAGCAGGGATGAAATTTAGTGAACTTACTTATTGCAAAGGTAGCCGAGACTCACTTTTCAAAACTGTAATTTTTCGAGACTCACTTGCTTTAAATGCATATTTTAAAACTCCACGAACACCATGGCAATCCGCTTTAGAGGCATACAATTGGCACACCATAGCAATCCGCTTTAGATGCACACAATTGGCACAACTTGACCATTACTTGTAGAGGCATGAAAATTGGCACACCATGGCAAACAGCTTTAGAGACATACAATTGGCACACTATAGCAATCTGCTTTAGATGCATACAATTGGCACACCACATAAATTTACAGGGCAAGCTGCCGGGCTCCCTCCTGGTGTCGGGCCCGCAGTCACGGACCGAGAGCACGACTAATCAGTCTGCCTGCCTGACTAGCCGGCGGCCCTGGATGTGTGGGTCAGCACGGCCCACACTTTGGGAACCGCTGCCCTATGCTATATTATCAAGAAATTAAATGATAAATATACAAACACGATGAAAGAGAATCTAACACAGAGTCTGTAAGGGTTGTGGGGTAATTCGAGCATAACCCAACATAGAAATCAATAAGAAAATTAGTACAGACTAGTAAAAGACAAGCCCAATATCAATACTTTTACTCTTATTAAAGTAATTGTCCGACATTGGAATGAGAACCTTAAAAATGTATAATTCACAACTTTATTAAATCCCTATAAGGATAATACAAAAAAACAGCACCAGAAAAATGTGATAAAGTTGAAAAAAATAGAAAATAAATAAAATTGGACAAGCAGATGGATCCTAAATAGATAGTCAGAATGATCTCCCAGGTTGGAAATAGACTTGAAAGCAGGTAACCTGACACTATGTTGCAAAAATGCATACACATTGAAAGCACCCAGATAAGTTTTATAAGCTGCCGGGGCTAGGAAAGTCTGATATAGTATCTAATATCTAACAATAAATGTAGATAAAGAATAGCAGACTGATCCTAAGGCAGTGTAGTGGATCAGAGGCAGAAATTGTAGAGTAAAGAAGGCTCTGTATGGTGTTAATCAGTGACTCTTATTAATCAGCTTAACTAATTGTTAAGAAAAGGAAATTGGAATTTATGGGTAATCCAAAGCAGTAAACCCCAGGCTGATAAACTATACCCGCTAGGAAACCAACAATAGAATCTGAAATTGCCCCTAGTATAATATCCCTTATGGTCAAGCGCTGAGAGCCAATATAATAATATATAGATGATCGACAAGTATGCAGACCTAAATCGATAGGCTGCATTTGAAGCAGCAGTGTTTAGCTTATTTCACACTGGCTATATCTAGTTTATGCCCTGAAACAGTTATTTACATAGTTACATAGCTGAAAAGAGACTTGTGTCCAAGTTCAGCCTCCCTCACATTTGTTTTTTGCTGTTGATCCAAAAGAAGGCAAAAAAAAAAAAAAAACTGTTTGAAGCACAATTTTGCAACAAGCTAGGAAAAAAATTCATTCTTGACCCCAGAATGGCAAGTTTACAGAGGTTTTTTTTTAGCTATCTTTTCTATACTATTAGCTAATCTCTGTATCTTCAGGGTGTATCCTATACTACTTGTTCCTTTAATTATGAGCGGACCAATTTAGGTCTGCATACTTGTCTATCATCTATATATTATGTGGACTGATAACTTTAACCTATAAATCCATGGACCGCATACTCTAGGATGAATGTGTGTAAGAAGAAAAGGGCATAGGTACTGATACAAAGCATTTTGAAGTACCAAGGTGTTTATCAAAAAGGTAGAGTGCCTGTTTTTTTTGTTAGCAGCAATAAAAAAAAGTAATTAAAATAATTATTTTATATATATATATATATATATATATATATATATATATATATATATATGACATACAATTTGGTAGGTACTTGGCCACTTATAAGGGTATAAAGGATAAATTTGGAGTGGGAAGCAGGAGAACTGATATTCAAATAGACAGGTACTGAAAGCTGAATATTATACAAAGGGGAGAAGAGTTCAGAGGTCAATTAGTGATAGACAAGCAAAAGGAATTGAAGCACAGTGCCTATATATAGTGGGACACCAAATGCAGGAAGCATGATTCCTGGGGAAGTGGAGTTTGGCTGACACTGAACCAGCCTCACAATGTTCTGGAGCTTCCTGCAGTACATCTACTCCTAAGCTGATACTCCCAACATCTTCACATAAACAGCAAAATCTGTTGGGTTGCACAAGATCAGGACTAGCTTCAAGAGCTTGGTGAAATACCATGGGGCTGAACTGAGGCCAAATGGAAGGCAGATGAGGCAGGTGAACTACCAAACATAATCCCACCACAACAACTGAAGAAAAAGCCTATCAATGCAGTGTACCGGCACCGTGAGATATGCGTTCTTCAGGACCAGGGGCGAGAAAAAATGTAGAAGCCTTCCTGCCAAGATGCGTCAGGGGTGGAATAGAAGATTACACAAGGAGTTCCACAAATCTGGACACTGTCTGCAGCACCCAAGGGTCCCCTGTGAGGGCGTCCCACTGAGAGAAAAAAATGAGACAGCCTGCCTGCAGTTGGTAAGTTTGGTAAATAAGGAAGGACACCAACCTGTGGCTTAGCTAGCTCGGGTGCATGAAGTGCCAGAGCCCTTGAAGGAACCTCTGGGGATCAGTGGACAGTACTGGTAGTGTTACCAGGAGGAAGAGAAGGAATCCGAGAGGGCCAACCAGCCCTGGAGGAAAAATGGTCACTGTACCAAAAGACCTTCTGGAGAGACTGTTGGGCTTTGATGAGGGATGTAGAGATGCTTCAATTCGTCATCCCTCAAAAAATCCCTCAAAAAATAGGCCTTTGGCATCTGGACTCGGCTCCTCAGAGGCCAAATCAGCCAGTTGCCATCGAGCCTATAACGAGCTTGCAACATTCAATGAAAAGGGTTTACATTGGCCCTGTCTTTCAGGGCGTCATCTGCCATCAGGAAGATCTATGCCAGTTGGTTACTGATATAGTAAGGAACTTGTCCTGGGCAAAGTGAAGATCCTGTACTAGGCCTTTGCGTGGATTCTTCCCAGACCTCTTCATAAATGTGGCAACTACTAATGTGGCCAATTTGTCTGGTGGCATTAGCCAAGGGCGTTCAGCCCAAAGCTTTGCCCTAATCTCCTTATCCAGGGGCCAGCGAAGCCAGTACCTGAGGAGTTCCACGATATGTCCAGGGGTGTTCATTTTGAGGAAGCAAGGGTCAAATAGAGGCCAGCCCAATGGGTCCAGGATTTCCATGGGATCGTCAGTGAAGGTCGACTGAGGCTTTAGGGCATCTGCAGGGGGAACGTCGATAAACATCTCCAAGAGCGGAAGTAATGACCGAAGGTCCTCTTACCGGGTGATGCAATGCCTGCGCTACCATCCTGGTATTCTTCTAGGCAGCCCCGGAGCCCATTCTGGCCAACTTGGCAGGCATCTTCCCCGTGTCAGCGGGGAAGTTCTGGCCTTTCCAAGGCCGTCTGTGAGTTGCCAGGGAGCAGAGTGAACCGCCTGAGTCAAAGCTTCTGGTGCCAGGAGTGTGAGGAGTAGGCTGCGTGGCAGCAAGGGGTTTCTCCCCATAGAGGGCAGCATGTGCCCTCTTTTCCATCTTGTACACATTACATCACTGCATTACCTTACATTTTCACTTACTTATTTTATTAACATGTACTTTGAATATAGAAAACTATAACATGAATAAATTATTGTTATCATCATCAAAGTATGCTTCTTCCCGGCCTCATTTTTGCCACTGGTCTGCATTGTCCATTTAGTCCAAGTATCTGTTCTTTTATTCCATCCAATAAATACTAAAATCATGAACTTAATAGCAAATGCCCTTCCATTTATTCATTAACATGCATTTAATCTCACAGGACTGTTAACTAATGTGCATTATCACGTACACAGTTACACATTACACTCCTACATATAAGGGATTTGAGAATTTGCAATAGCGCCACAGTGTCAGGCTTTGAGGCCTTGGGGCACTGTAAAGGCTGATTCGTTGGCCATAGTAGCTCCACTGAAGTGGTACAGGGAGCATGGCTGCCTTGGGGTCACCCAGACAGAGAGAGTGAGGCAGTCACCATCAGTCCAAGAAGGAATGTTATGTGGCCCAGGGATCCTTGAACAGTTCTGGGGAGGGGGTATACCCACCCTGACACATTGCCCCAGGCACAGTTCAAACAGAAGAAATACAACTTAAGTGTGCTAATGAGGTGCAGAGTGATAATAATACAATGGGTGTGGTAAAAAGCAGCTGTGCAACACTATCCGAAAAAACCCAGAAATATAATAAACCAGAAAGAAAACTAAAACTTAATGATTAGGTGATCTACCCCACCAACTAAAACATTTAAGCACTAAGACAATTTATATACAACTTACTCCTCAAAATTTCGGCTGATTTTTTCCACATACATGAAATGAAAACAAATGATACAAAATAGTGTTATATTGTTAACAAATTCTAAATTTAAAGTGCATAGTGTGTGTGCACATAAAACTCACATTTGTTAGAGCATTTTAAAGGTAAAGGCTCTAAACAAAACCGCTTCCATGCCTTTAAATAGGTGGCAACATCAACCTTCTTCTGGTACAAAACTGGCAGAAATTTCCTTTTGTGTTCTCACTCTTTACAATTTCGTATTGTACAGTTAAGCCTTCATGTTATCACTGCTTGGGGCTTTATTATGTTCTTCAGCTGCGTTCCTCTAGTGGGACGATGTCTCCATTGACTACACTGGTTACCTCAGAGGTGGTGAATGAGAGTAATAGGAATGGATCCTTTGGGAGGTCTTAGAAATCCCAGATCTGCAGCAATCCTTCTTATCTTCTAACAATCTTCCATAGCACTGCCTGGAGAAAGTCTGGTGCTTGAAGAGGAGCTAAACAGTGCAAAAAGTAAACCATAAAAAATAGCAAAATCTAAAAATCAAAGTATAAAACACAATATTCAGTCCATCCAACCAATATCCAGGAGTCACGTTTAAATAACCAATAATTCAGGATCAGAATAATCAAGTTCAAACAGAGACCGGGAAGGCAAGTATGAAAAGGGGGTCTGAGCCCCCAGACAGCGAGAAGGGGAACCCTTCACCACATACATCCAACACACCAGGGGGGATGGCCCAGTGTAATTTAAAAGATACCTAAATCTTATTTGAATAAAAACTGAGGAGAGAGTAGGGGATCATGCAGAACCCCACGCAGCGGCGCAAATGAGGTCCAGGAGGCCAGAACATGTGGAAAGCATGTGGGAGCAAAGCATCTCCAAGAAAATGTCCACTGCTTAGTTGTGGCAAAAGGCCACGGCCTACCGCAGGAAGCACAGCCGCCCGATGCAAAGCACCTAATTAGACCCAAGAGGCACTCAGAAAATGGGCAGGATGGAACCCAAGGAAAATGAGGTGGCAAGGGAGCATGGGCAGGGTAAAGGTTGCATCAGTACCACGAGGGTGCTGCAATCGTGGCAGCACACAGGGTAAGGAGCAGGGACAAGGGGAAAGACCAACCAAAGCAGCCCACACAAGCCCAGGAGCCCCACACACTATTATACAGATGCAAAAAACAGAGAAATCATGTTAACACATAAACAGTAGGCAATCAATAATGTATAAACGAAAGACAGAGCAGACACTCTGAGTTGGGTAAAGCTCACCTAGAGGCAGCAGCAAAGAAAGAGGAAGTGGGAGGGAAGGAAGAGGAAGTGGGAGGGTTTGCCTCAGAGTTTTATATTATTGTTCTGTTTTCTAAAAGTTGTGTTAACTATTTCTTTGCTACTAGAGGTTTCAGTAAAGAAGTTAAAGCAAATATGAAGTCTCCTGTCTTGCCATAAAATAAAAAAACAACTAGTGGGCTGAATTAAAAATAGTTATTAATGGAACACTATAGTGTTAGGAATACATATTTGTATTCCTAATGCTATAGAGCCCTAATCACCTAAATGGTGACTAGGGCCCCTTTCCGTGGCCAATAAATGGTTAATTAACCATTTATTTGCTTACCATAATCCAGCGCAGGGCTCCCTCGGCACTGGTGACCTCTTCTACTCCATCGATGTCAGCTCCCAAGTGGAGCCGAATGTACATGCACAGCCAGAGGCGCGTGCGCATTCAATCCCGCCCATAGGAAAGCATTACTCAATGCTTTCCTATAGGGATCTTGTTTGACGCTTGAGGTCTCTGAAACTGCTATGTTTTCAGGTGCAGGGTTAAAACTAGGGGGACCTGGCACCCAGACTACTTCATTGAGCTGGGTGCCTATAGTGGTCCTTTATTGTTGCAAATGTGGGGGGATTTGAAAGATGCCGGGGGAGGAGACTTACCAGTCAGCAGAGACAGGGGACAAAATCAGACTGACTTTATGTTGCCTTTAGACTGTCTTGTAAGACATAACATGCAATATTACCAAAAACGTTCATGAAGTGGCTTTCCCTGACGCCATGCACATTCCCTTAATAATGTCTGCCTTACCCTGCATCTCTGACACCGACCTGGTGATGCTCCTGAAGCACAGGCTTCCCATGGCCGTGGGGCGCTTGAGGCCTGGTGTCTGGAGTGGAACCAGGATCCTGGATGATAGCAGTAGTTTGCCGGTGTGGGAGCAGGTGGGCGGAGGGTCAGGCAGTCCATTCCTCCATCGCGATTATCCCCTAGTCCAGTGAGGCACGGTGCATGGAGGCAGCAGTGGAGCCAGGACGTTGGTGATGCTGGATATATGGACATATATTTAATGTGGACCTGCAGTCAAGCTTTGAAGCTGCGCTGTTGGCAGGGGGTTGGCGGAGGTTCAGCGGAGAGTATTTTTTTTAACTGTAGTTATTTGCTAAAATTGTTGCAGGTAAAATATTGCTCTCATTTTATTTTTTAATGCATTTTTTTTTTCAATTTGACAATTTTTATTGAGTCAGCGAAAAGGCAGTTGAGTACAGAAAAAAAGAAAGGGCGAATATCATAAACCAGTGGGTACATTACATTTCCATTGAATACACACATGACATATACTTGTTTGGTGATAGATACATGGTTACAATTCAATGCCACACACGTTAGGTGGAATGTGTGTCGTCTTGGACCTGTTGGCCGTATATGGGATGACCTGTCTGTGTAGGTGGTACCTTGGATGACCTGGTCTCAATCCTAGTGCCTCTTTAGGTGTTTGCGCTATGCCTTGCCTAGTAAGTCTGCCCACTTCAGTTGACTACGCGGGATCTAACTATTGGCAGGCTAAGTAGACATCTGCTTGTGGTGGCCTATCTCGAAGCTGAGACAATGTTAATCAGTTATCTTGTCTAGGCTGCTAGGTAATCCGGCAGTGCTCTGTGTTTGTTTTTTGTGTGTGTTTTAACATAATAGCAATGTGCCTTTGTGCCTCCCTTATAATAAGTGGTGTTCAGATGGTTCTAATTTACCCTTGCCTCTCCTTTTAGACTGCCTAACCACTTGGCTCAGTTTTTTTTTTAAAGCAGGGAGGGGGAGAATTTAAAAGAAAAGGTGTGGGCGAAGGGGGGGGAGGGTAACTTTGTACAATGTAGGCTTGCTTCTCCTGTCTCTTGTCAGGGTGGACTCATCGGTTAGGCAGAAGCCCCTGTACTCGGAAGCTTCGTAGTGTCTAGTGTCTTCTGTGATTGCCATTGCTGAGTGTGCAGTGCTGCCAGTTGTGAACTTTGGGCCGAGAGACCCGAGTCCAGCCGAGATTCCTGTCCCTTCCACTCATCTATCGCCTCGTCCCACCTACCCTATTGTCTCCAGTGGTGAAATCGCCATACCAGGGGGCTTCTTTCATGTTTAATTCGTCATGTAATAAGAACTCTACAAGTTGCTTCCACATGGTGTCATGCCTTCCCCCGCCTCCCCCCCTTGGTCTAGTACACTTGGGGTGTGGGTATGTTCCGTGTGCATTTGGGTTTTAATGTAGATGTCCCACATGGTTCCCGCTCCCTGGATATGTATTTTTGGACTAATATGCTTATGGGCCATTGATTCGTAGTCCAGGTTCAGGGAAATCTGCGCTGTGAGGGCAAGATGACCCGGCACTTATGTAGATTTCCATGTTCTGGCTATCAGCAAATTTGCTGCCATAAGGACGTGGAAAAGTTTTCCAGTGGCATAAATAAAAGGCATAAATCAGGTGTGTGTGATGCCTGTCCCCAATGTGTCGGATATTATGTCCCCCAGCATACTCCAATATCCCTCAATCTTGGGACACGTCCACCAAATGTGGTACATTTTCCCTGTATCCTGTAAACACCTCCAGCAGGAGCTAGAAGTATTCGGGTAAATTTGCGCTAGTCTTTCCGGTACCATAGAGCAGCGATACTGGGTTTTTCTTAAAAGTTCTAGGTGTGACGCACAGCTATCATTGCTTTTTTTCAGTCTTTAATGTCGAATGTCTGGTCTAAGTCGCTGTGCCAGTCAAGCATAAATTTTTCGCAGGTGTGTGCTGCCGGGACTGTCAGTACTCGGTATATTGAAGACAATGCCCTCGTCGGTAATTTGAATTTATGTTGGAGGTCTGGGAATGGCATCATTCCGTTTTCTCCAAACAATTGGCTTATGGAGGCGCAGCCTCCTTCCTGCCAATGCCTGTAGTCAAAGGATGGGTTGACAGCATGCAAGCAAGACATGGGAGCAGCTGGGAGCCACATATGCTTCTCGCCCATTCTTTGTTTTAGTCTGTCCCATGTATGGAGGAGTAGGTCAGTAGTACGCAATATATTTGGCAATATATTTTGGCATGCGTTTATGTTTGGGTATCCAGAAGAGATGTTGCAGGCCCTTGGGGCAAGACCAATGCGACTCAAGTTCATTCCATTGCAGGGGGAGAGTCGCTGCGTGGGAGGCTATCACTGAGGCCAGCAGTGCGGCCCTGTTATACTCTTTAATGTTAGGCAGTCCAAGTCCGCCGTGGTCTAGGGGTTTATGTAGAAGTTTCGAGGAGACACGGATCTTACGGTTTTCCCATATAAACCGGATTAATATGGCCTGAAGTTTTTCTAAATAGGTTTTGGGGATAGATATTTGCAGCGTTCTGAGCAGGTATTGGAGTTTAGGGAGGACGGACATTTTCACTGCCGCTATCCTGCCAAGCCAGGTTAAGAATTTAGGTTCCCACCGCTTTAGTGTTTCGGTTATGTCCCTTAAGAGTTTCTCATGGTTGTATTTCATTAGTTCGGTTTTTCATGAAATTGAGTCCTAAGAAGGAGAAATATGCCTGT